TCAGGGCCCTAAAGTCCACTACAAGCCTCGGCTTATCTGTGTTTTTTTTGTCCACAAAAAACACTGGGCTGCCCCCCACCGCTCGGGACTCTCTGATGAAACCTCGTTTCAGGTTTTTGTCAATGAACTCCCTCAACTCCTGCATCTCCCTGTCTGACATGGCATACAGCTTGCCCACTGGGAGTTGGGCCCCAGGGAGTAGATTGATTTGACAGTCAAAGGGTCTATGCGGCGGCAGTTTGTCTGCTTCCCTTTCGCTGAATACGTTGCTCAGATCTGCGTATTGCGGGGCACCTTCCCTTTATCCGTTACTTCCATCCCGGCTAGGGTGACTCTGGCTCCTCCCGGAACCATCCCCTCTTTGCAGTGTTCTAGGCAATGCGCTGACCCAAAGGAGACCACCCTCTGATGCCAGCCCACTAGCGGATCGTGTAGCGCCAGCCAGCTCATCCCCAAAATGATGGGAGCTCCTCCCAAGGTGGCCACATTAAACGCTATCCGTTCGGTGTGCCTTGCCACCCTCATTATCATCGGGACAGTCTGTTGGCTAACTTCTCCTCCCAACAGCTCTCTGCCGTCAATCGTGGTCACCTGCAAGGGGTTACTTAAAGGGATGGTCTGTATCTGGTGCTCAGCTGCAAACTCCTTACTCATGAAATTACAGGAGCTGCCTGAATCCAAAAGCGCCTTGATCTTTAGTGGGTGTCCGTTTGGCAGCTCTAGTAACACCTCTATCACTAAAGCAGGTCTTGGAGGTTCCGGCGCGGGCACTTTCACTGCTCTTTGGCCTGGCTGCTGTGCCCCGACGGTGGCAGCCAGGCGTTGGCTTTTACTTGCTCCTTGCCTTCCTCCTCTTTTTCCCCAACAGCTCCTGCCATCCCTTGCCATTCCTTTCTTTGTGGGCAGACTCTGGCAAAGTGACCTGGCTGTTGGCAGAGATAACATTTCTTGGCGCTCTTCCCCTCCTTCTTCCGCCCTTCACTGGGATTTGAAACTGCGCGCGCCCGCGCTGTTCCAATTTCCATCGGCTCTCATCGGGAGTTCCTGCAAAAGAATTTGCAGAGAGGTTTTATTAGAGAGTCTACGGCCTCTGGGGGTGCTCCTGTCTTTTTTGTCAAAAAGAAAGGTGAGGAAGGGGCACCAAGATTAGTATGTGACTTCAGAATCCTTAACAGTCAAATGAAGCCTCGTGTGTGCCCACTGCCACGTATAGATGACCTCTTAGAGAGAGTAAGGTCAACCAAAGTCTTTACCAAGCTTGATCTACGAGGAGCATATAATCTGATAAGGGTCAGAGAAGGGGATGAGTGGAAAACCAGTTTTTGTACTAAGTATGGTGCATTTGAATTCTTGGTAATGCCTTTTGGCTTGCAAAATGGCTCAGGGGTATTTCAAACCTTCATCAATCACGTCTTAGCAGGTATACTGGATCAGTTCTGTGTCTCTTATTTAGATGACCTCTTAATATATAGTGAAAGTATGGAGGAACACGTAAAACATGTCACACAGGTGTTAGAGAGATTGAGGACCAACAGGTTATATGTGAAGTTAGAGAAGTGTAAATTCCACACACAAAAGGTGGAGTTCCTGGGATATTGCATTTCCCACAAAGGGGTGCACATGGACCCCAGTAAAGTTCAGGCAGTGGTGGAATGGGAGGCACCTAAAACTAAGAAAGATCTACAGAGGTTTTTAGGATTTGCTAATTTCTATCGTAAATTCATAGGTAATTACTCCAAAATCACAGCGCCACTAACTGATTGTCTAAGAGGCAAGGGGCCATTCAGATGGACTGAGGAAGCACAGAAGGCCTTTGATAAATTAAAGGTGGTGTTTGCTTCAGAAAAATATCTTATGCACCTAGATCCAAGTAAGCGTATAAAGGTAGAAACTGATGCCTCTGACAGGGCTATTGGGGCCATTCTGCTGAAACAGGACAAGGAAGGGGACTGGAGACCCTGTGCATTCTACTCTAGAAAATTAAATCAATCAGAACAAAACTACACCATATTTGATAAGGAACTTTTAGCTGTACACGCTGCCTTTAAAGTGTGGAGACATTTTTTGGAAGGGGCATCACATCAGGTGGTGGTACAAACAGATCATAAGAATTTAGAGTATTGGAGAACTGCTAGACAGCTAAACCAAAGGCAAATTAGGTGGGCAGAGTTTTTTGCTGAGTTTAATTTTAGGATTGAGTACATACCTGGGCATCAAAACATTCGTGCAGACGCGCTATCGCGCAAACCTGAGTATATGGAAGGGGAAGCACCTCCCAAGTTGCGAGAAATGCTGAGATCGGATCAGTGGGGGTGTGCAGCCGTAGTAGTGGACGGCAGGGAATTCCAGCAATTGACAGTAACAGATGAGTTTGTACAAAAGAAAATGGAGGAACTGAGAAAAGGTAGAGGGGAAGAGGAAGGTTTCAAAGAAAAAGATGGATTGTTGTACAGGAGAGGGGTGCTGTATGTACCTGCAGGTGAATTAAGAGGTAAAGTGTTGAGGCAACATCATGATAACCCGACTGCAGGACATTTTGGTAGAGAAAAGACCCTGTATCAGATCACACGGCAGTTCTGGTGGCCAAAGTTGAGGGAGGAAGTAACACAATATGTAAGAGGTTGTGAAGTATGTCAACGAGCCAAGGCACCCAGAGCAGCTCCCGCAGGGTTGTTGCAACCTATGCCCACGCCGGGAAGGCCTTGGGATGTGGTGTCTATGGATTTTATAACGGATCTACCGTCATCGCACAGGCAAACAGTGATCTTCGTAGTGGTTGACATGCTAACCAAGATGGCACATTTCATACCATGTACCAAAATTCCGACCGCACAGGAAACTGCAAAGATGTTTTTAGATAATATTTTTAGGTTGCATGGTATGCCATCACAAATCATTTCAGATAGAGGGGCCCAATTTACATCACAATTTTGGAAGAGGTTAATGCAGTTACTAGATGTGGAGCTAAGCCTCACGTCAGCGAGACACCCGCAAACCAATGGGGAAGCTGAAAGAACGAATGCAACACTACAACAATATCTGAGGTGTTATGCTGGTTATCAGCAGAGCGGGTGGTTAGAGAAGTTGAGTCTAGCAGAGTTTGCGTATAATAATGCAATGCATGTGTCTACGGGCAGAGCCCCATTTGTGGCAAACTATGGCTTGCACCCAAGGGCATTCCCAGGTCAAGAGGAGCAGTTAGCAGTACCAGCAGCAGAACAAATGATAGAGGAGTTGAGGTGCATTCATGAGATATTGAAAGAGGATTTGGAAAAAGCTAAAGAGGCTTACAAGAAAGCTGCAGATAGGCACCGGCGAGTTGGGGAAGAAATCCAAGTAGGGAGCTGGGTATGGCTGTCTACCAAGGGACTACCAATACGAGGGAAGTGTAAAAAGCTAGAACCAAGGACATTGGGACCTTTCCAAGTAAAGGCTCAAATTAACCCAGTCGCTTTCAAGCTTCATTTGCCTGAAAATATGAGAATACACCCTGTATTTCATAGATCTTTATTGTCAGTGTTTGTACCAGCACATAAGTATCAAATTTCAAGGGAACCACCTCCTTTTCCCACCATGATGGGTGAAGCGGAGACCGAAGTGGAAGAAATATTAGACTCGAGAATAAGTAGGAGGAAATTACAGTATTTGATTGCATGGAAAGGGTTAGATGAGTCTGAGAACTCATGGGAACCAGCAGAAAAAATTAATGTTCCAGAATTGCAGAGAGAATTTCATAGAAGATATCCCCACAAGCCAAAACCCCAAAACTGGCATCTTCAAGAAATTTTTGAAGAGACAGATAGCGAGGAAGAAGAGTTCATAGGGTTCGGTCCTTCAGAAACAGAGGAGAGCGAGGAGGAGGAAGGGGGGCTTAGGGGAGGGGGTGATGTCAGGGAAGAGTTAGAGGTTTTCAGTTTATCAGAGGGAGAAAGCATTCCCCAAGGGGGGAGGAGAGCAGTGAATCTAATAGAAGGGAGCAAGAGGAACAACAGGGAGGGACCGGCTGTTCCCAGGAAAGGCCAGGGTTCAGTTCTAGCTCAGATTCGGAGGAGGGGAGATCCAAGCCAGCTCTAGCCAGGAGGGTAGGAAAAAGAGCAGGAAAGCGAAGGGAAAGGCGCCTTCGCCATTTGGAGAGTGGCTGGTCATGGAGAAGCAGAGCTCAGAAGGTATCTGAAAGAAGTGACTCTGAGGAATAATAGTTAAGAACTGTTTATAAGATTGTTTTGTTAATACGCAATAAAAAGTTTTATAAAAGAACAAGAAGCGTTTCTGTGGTGATCTGAAGAGGACAACGACCAGTCCTGACAGACCCAATGCAAAAATCCTGAGAATCCCTGTGGATCCATGCTTTGTAACCACGTTTTTGCACCATTGCAGCCCCAGGCAACAGTGGGTGCGTGATTTTTGGGGGGCAGGCTGTAGCCATGGACATGCTATGTGATCTGATGGTGAATTTGGGCTGACCCAATGCAAAGATCCTGAGGATCCATGTGGATCCATGTTTTGTAACCAGCCAGTGCGCTCTCTCTCTCTCTCTCCCTCTCTCTCTCCCTCCCTCTCTCCTGCATGTTTTCAGTAGAAGGAAAGACACTCTGCTTTCCCCTCTGCTTGCCTGGAGGGGAGGGGCTTTCCCTGCTCTTTGTTCCGTTTGAGCAAACACAGCAAGGAAACAGAGGAGGGTGGGCAGTAAGACCCTGAGGCAGAATGCAGGAAAGCAGCTGCTTCCTCTTTTCAGGTTTCCCTTCTCTGAGACACGCAATTTGATTTTTGCCTGATTTTTTTTGCCATTTGGCTCCAGGGACCACACATTCGCTCAATAACACGCACAGACATTTCCCCTTCCTTTTTAGGAGAAAAAATCTGCGTGTTATAGAGGGAAAAATACGGTAACTCTCAATAACTCTTCTGTCACCGCTGTTAGGGCCGTTAGGGCCACTGACTGGTCTGTTTCCCAGAGGTGTGACTCTCACCTGTCTCTCTCTCTCTTGCTTCCTTCTCAGGTGTGCTCCAGGTTACACAGGAAACCCCAATATCCGTGGGCAGAAGTGTGTGTCCCTGGGTGAGTACGAAGTCCGCCAGCTGGCCTCTGCCTTAATACACACACACACACTGCACACGCCACACTGCCAGCCGTGAAGGGTTGCTGTGTATAGATAGAGGAGCCCGCCAGGTCAGGCCAGTAGCATATCTGGCCCAGCTTCCTGTTCTCATAATGGCCAACCAGAAGCCTGTGAGAAACCCACAAGCAGGGATGCTTTAGCTGAGATTCCTGCATTGCAGCGGGTTGGACTAGATGACCCTCAGGACCCCTTCCAGCGCTCCAATTCCATTATCCTTTGATTCTGCACTGCAGTTTCGAGCAGCACTGCTTCCTCCAACTGTGGATAGCCATCATGGTTCATAGCCATTGGTAACCTTTTTCTCCATGAATTTGCTCTTTTAGAGTCTTTTAGAGTCATGTAAGCTGGTGGTCCTCCCTGCTTCCTGTGTAGGCAAGTTCCGTAGTTTAACTCTGCACTGCAGGAAGAAGGACTTCCCTCTATCCTCCTCAAACCTTCCAAAACTCAGCTTCGTCAGATGTCTGCAAGTTCTTGTGTTCTGTTTGTTTGTTTTTTATAATAATTTTTATTAGATTTACATATACAGTCATACCTTGGGTTACAGATGCTTCAGGTTGCCTTTTTTCAGGTTACGGACCCGCCGAAACCTGGAAGTACCGGAACTGGTTACTTCCTGGTTTTGGCTGTCGCTCATGCGCAGAAGCGCTAAATTACACTTTGCGCATGCGCAGAAGCACCGAATTGCAACCCGCGCAGATGCAGGTTGCCAAAGCTGTGGGTTGCGTACGTGCATCCCGCACGGATCATGTTCGCAACCCGAGCGTCCACTGTAATCACATTACGTAGCCTCATATCTTCTTATTTAACCTTTTTGGCTCAACTCAAGTTCTTGTATTCTGAGAGAGAGGGGTGGGGTGAGGAACCTTTTCTTTCTCTTTAAAAAAATATATACTTATGCTTCTCAGGTTTATACATTTCACTAATTTTACAATCATTTCAGCATTTCAAAACTTGACTTCCTTCTCCCTCTTTCTGCGGTTCCTTAAATTTATTTTTAATACCTTCTGCATATCCAAATTAACTCAATTTGCTCATTTATTCATCTACTTTAAATATATACTCTTATGAAACTGCAGGTTATTACAATAATCCTGCCAGTGTTCTTATCTGTTTACAATTTATCTAAATATTCCATAAACCATTTCCATTATTTTATAAAAAGTTTGTTATTGTGATTTCTTATTTTTCCGGTAAGTTTCGTCATTTCTGCATATGCCATAAGTTTTTGTATCCATTCTTCCTTTGCTGGGACTATTTCTTCTTTCCATTTCAGAGTGAGTAACATTCTAGCCACTGTACAGTATTAGTATACATGAATAAGTTTCTATGAAGTTTAGGTAGTTCTGTCCCTATAATTCCCAATAGAAAAGCTTCTGGTTTTTTAAAACAAAGGTTATTTTAAACATCCTTTTCATTTCATTATATATCATTTCCCAGTAAGCTTTAACCTTACTACAAGACCACCACATATGATCGAAAGAACCTTCTTTATCTTTACGTTTCTGTCCCTAAATTCCCAAAAGTATTAGAATTACAGTTTTTCTTTGGGAAAAATCTTCTTTTTCCACTTCTTTCTGGGCATGCATCTTTGCATACTATTCTATCCCTAAACCTTTCTTCCTAGAGCAGTCGCCCCTGTCAGGAGTTCAGCCTACACTCGAGTAGGACCCTGGCAGAGACACATGCCCAAGTGTCATGTTCCCTCCCTCCTGGTCATTCGTTCAGGAGCTTCAAAAGCTTTCTTCTGCCCTGAATATCACAGCGACCGATGCCAACAGACATTGGCACACTTAGGGATCCGCAGAGTTTGCGCATCATGCGCATGACAGACCTCAGCGACTCAGCATTTTGGCTAATCTACTTTATTTACATATCAACACACACGGAGCACTGCAACATGGCTCCCTCTCTCTCTAGCATGAGACAGCAAAGAGGAAAAGGACAATAGTCCCACTTCACGGAACACAGTAACACAAACATCCTGTTTCTGTCACTTCCCACTCTGTGGAGTCAAAACATATACCGTCATGACATAGACAACAATCCCATGACTGCAATCATGGAGCAGGAATTCTGACAGCCCCATCCCTTCCATCATTTCGGCTGCCCTAATCTGAGCCTTTCTCAACTCCGCAGGTACTCCAGACCAGCCAGGCCTCGTTGTGCAAGTCCACCCTCCGCGGACTGCCGTCTCGCAAGGCAGCAAGGTGACCCTGCGTTGCCACGTCAGCGGGGCTCCACCGCACTATTTCTACTGGTCCCGCGAAGACGGGCGCCCCGTGCCCAGCACCACCCAACGCAGGCAGCAAGGTGGGTTACTGTCAGGGACTGGGCAGAGGAGGAATGGTCGAGACAGCCTCCCCAGCTTGACTGTTTGAGGGAGGAGGAAGACGACAACAGTTTATTTACAACAGGAATTTGAGGGACGTCGCAGCTCAGTGGCAGATGAGGCGAAAAGTTGGGAAATAATGTGAGAGGAGGAGATGGAAGAGGAAGCGCCAGGGGGGCGACAGCTGATGGACACAGTGTCTTTAGAAAGCATTCCAGACCTCCCCTCCCAGAACCCGGCGAGCCTTGAAAGTAGGGGAGCAAAAAGCTCAAAGGCAGAGGTCACGTAGCAGCACCCATAGAAGTGACGAATGAGGAAGTGGGAGAGATGGGAGGTGGAGATTCACTTAGGACAACACCATTATCCAAGAGGCTGGGTTCTATAGCCTCTCTCTGTAGATACGGAATAAAAAGTGGACGGCAAGAAACATTCCCTCGCCTTTGTACGTTCCTGGGCAACCAGCTGGGAGTCGCAGGCAGCAGCCTGACAGTTACCATCAGGGTTTCAGGGGGAGGGTGGAAGCTTTCTCCAGGCTTGGTAAAAGAATAAATTCTGAGCCGCTCGGTCTTGCTTAAAAGGAAGATGGCTACCTTCATTCATACGCTGACTCGGTGGACAATTGTGTGTGTCTCCCCTCCTCACCCACCGTAACACTTACGCACAGACTCCCTCCCAAAGACAGCCTTCTGTAAATTATGTACAATTTTTCTGGGAAAGGGTGTTTAAGGAGATAACAGAAATCACTGGGTTAAAGCTGACCGAAAGTCCAGAGGTAGCATTATTATCCATTTACGATGGGGTGGAAGGTTTGCAGGCTAGGAAGGACTTACTCACAAATTAATTTATTGACAGCTGCATGCATTATGATAGCTAGGAAGTAAAAGGGGCAAGCAGAATATAAAATGGAAGGATGGTATAAAGAGGTGTGTGGGATATAGCTATTGATGATAAATTGACATGTGCCATTAAGGTAAGACGGGGAATACGCAGGAGAAATGATTTCGATGAGATATGGAAGATATATTTGTAGAATTTGTATTGTTAAAACAGAAAGGGGTCACAACCATCGCAAGAGGTGCTGGAATTTTGGAAGGTTGGATAGTTACAGTGGAACGGTCTCTGTGGTGGGGTGCACATTTTTATTCTTATTTATGTATAATAATAATAATAATAATTTGTTTATACCCTGCCCATCTGGTTGGGTTTTCCTAGCCACTCTGAGCGGCTCACAACAGAATATTAAAAACATGATAAGTCATCAAACATTAATAATAATAATAATAGGAAAAAAGAAGGGCCTGCGGGGGGGTTGGACTAGATGACCCCTGGGAAACCTTCCAGCTCGTCTCCATCTCCCTTGATTTCCTCCCCAGGACTGGAGCTCCACTTCCCCAACATCCAGCCCTCCGAAGCCGGCGTCTACATCTGCACATGCCGCAACCTGCAGTTCAGCAATGCCAGCCGTGCCGAGGTTGTCGTCACAGGTGAGACGCACCTTTTTGCTAGGAGTGAACTTCCTGCGCCGGGAGGAGCTCGAGGCAGGAAGGGGTGGGTGCCGATTGATGGGAGCCGCAGGAGTCAAGAGGGCTCTCTGCTATTTAACATAACTCCTCCCCTCCCACCCCACTAAATGGACCACGTCTGAGGCTCCCTTTGCTGCCAAAGGCTGGGGGAAATAGGCAAGTTGTCAACGATGGCACCTGGTGCATTTCCTTGGGGAGAGGATTCCGGAAACAGCATCCAAGGAAGGGCACGGATCTTGGCAAGGAGAAGGCCACGAGGGAGTCTTTCGCACATCTCTCTCTGCTTCCGCAGAAGGCCCCAGCAAGCCCATCACAGTGACCGTGGAGGAGCAGAAGGTGCAGAGCGTGAAGCCAGGGGGAGACGTCACCTTTGTCTGCACAGCCAAGAGCAAGGTGAGCTCCTTCAGCCTTTGTGTGCTCATTTGCTTGCTTGCGTTCCTGTACCTGTTGCTTCAAAGAGCTCCAGGTGGCATACACGCTTCTCACCCTTCCTCATTTAATCCCCACGACAACCCTGAAATGTAGGTTCGCCTGGGAGGCAGCGACAGGCCCCTAGTGAACTTTGAGGCCAAATGGGAGGATTTGAACTCAAGGCCCTAGTTCAGGGGAGCAGGGTGGATGTTAAAGCCCCCAACCCCCTGTGTAAAAGTTAAAGGTTGCATTCAACCACACAATCCTCATTCCGCACTTGTAAGAATTGTCAGGAGCTCTCCTACACTCGAGTAGGACCCTGGTAGAGACACATGCCCGACTGGCATGTTCTCTCCCTCCTGGTCGTTTGTTTGGGAGCTTAAAATCTTTCTTCAGCCCGAACATCACAGCGACCAATGCCAACAGACATCGGCACACTTAGGGATCCGCGGAGTCTTCGCAGTTGCGTGACAGACCTCAGCAACTCAGCATTTTGGCTAATCTACTTTATTTACATATAAACACACACAGAGCACTGGAACATGGCTCCCTCTCTCTCTAGCATGAGACAGCAAAGAGGAAAAAAACAAAGGACAATAGTCCCACTTCACGGAACACAGTAACACAAACACCCTGTCTCCATCACTTCCCACTCTGTGGAGTCAAAACATATACCGTCATGTCATAGACAACAATCCCATGACTGCAATCATAGAGCAGGAATTCTAAGAAGAAATCGGCTTTTTAATGTGACAGCACTTTGCAATTCCCTGCCTATTGACATCAGGCAGATGCCTTTGCTGTGCCCTTTTTGGCACCTGCTAAAAGCATTTTTGTTCAGGCAAACCTCTCCAGACATGTCAAACTTTATGTGTGTTATTATTAGCTACCATTGATTTGGCACTGTGGTCTAAACCACCGAGCCTCTTGGGCTTGCCGATCGGAAGGTTGGCAATTCGAATCCCCGCAACGGGGTGAGCTCCCATTGCTCTGCCCCAGCTCCTCCCAACCTAGCAGTTCGAAAGCACGCCAGTGCAAGTAGATAAATATGTAGCTCTGCAGCGGGAAGGTAAAGGGTGTTTTCATGCGCTCTGGTTTCCGTCACGGTGTCCTGTTGCGCCAGAAGCGGCTTAGTCCTGCTGGCCACATGACCCAGAAAGCTGTCTGTGGACAAACGCCGGCTCCCTCAGCCTGAAAGCGAGATGAGCGCTGCAACCCCATAATCGCCTTTGACTGGGCTTAATTGTCCAGGGGTCCTTTACCTTTTTAAAAAATACCTTGAATATTCTTAAATACCTGTTTATGTTTCCCATGGAGAGTTCTAATATTTTCTTTATTTTTCTTAAACCACTTGTAGAGGTTTTCTTATAATCAAGCTACATACAAATTTCATTCAATTAAAAAAAACAACCCAACGCATTGAAAGAAATGTCTGTATACATGTTGCATGTTGAAAAACAAATTCTAGTATGAAAGTGCACATTAAAAACAAATGTGCATTGTTATTTTTATCATCATCATTACTACTATTCTCATTATCATCGTTTAATTTATTATTCACATCTCTGGTGTCAAAAGCGGGGGGGGGGGGAGGCTGGTAGAGAGGTAACACTACCTGTTGAAAAGCTGCCTGTCTTTGGAGTCCCAACTCTCTCCTCCCCTGGCTGCCCACCCCCAGTCTCCTGCCTACACCCTGGTATGGACACGCCAGAACAATGGGAAGCTGCCCAGCCGGGCCATGGACTTCAATGGGATCCTCACCATACGCAACGTCCAACCAGAGGACGCCGGGATCTACGTCTGCACAGGGTCCAACATGTTCGACATGGACGAAGGAGTCGCCACACTCTACGTGCAAGGTAGGGACGGAGAAAGGGGGCTGCATGCTCAGGGTCCTCTGAGGCTGCGGGCACAGCCGGATCGTGGCTCAACACCGACACCCAACGCTTGCCCACCTGGCCACAGGTTGCACACGGCATCTGAGCACGCTCGTCTCTGCCAGAATGTCACAAAAGATGGCTCCCACCTGTTGCTTCTTGGGGGTAATGGGAGTTGGGGTTTCAGGCGCCAGGATCAGAGAGGTCCATTCACCCCCTTTCTCCTGCTCGGAAGCCAGGCAAGCCTCTGCCAGTCAGTGCAGACGATACTGAGCTGGAGGGGCTCCGTAGAAGACCGCTCCCTGCGGTCCCGGCTCTGAAGGGAAGGGTTTACAGCTCAGTTCTAGAGCAGTTGCTTGGCATGCAGAAGGTCCCACGTTCCATCCTGGGCTGCATCTCCAGGTAGGGCTGGGGGTAAGGATCCTCATCTGAAAACTTGGAGAGCTGCTGCCAACCAGTGTAGACAATACTGAGCTAGATGGACCTTAACTTAGATCCTGTTTCTGACTTTCTCAGTACCGTGGGGACCAGAGCCTTTCTTTCTTTTTAGTGTGAGGCAGTAGCTCTGTGGCAGAGCTGCTGCTTTGCATGCAGAGGGTCCCTTGCTCAGCCCCCAACATACCGTATTGACCCGAATATAAGCCGCACCCGCAAATAGGCCGCACCTTTAACATTCAAGGGGGGGAGGAGAAAAAAAAGACAATACCCAAATACAGTGGTGCCTCGCAAGACGAAAAGAATCCGTTCCGCGATTCTCTTCGTCTTGCGGTTTTTTCGTCTTGCGAAGCAAGCCCATTAGCGGCTTAGCGCTATTAGCGGCTTAGCGGATCAGCTGATAAGCGTCTTAGCGGATCAGCTGATAAGCGGCTTAGAGGATCAGCTGTTACGCGGCTTAGCGGATCAGCTGATAAGCGGCTTAGCGATCAGCTGTTAAGCGGCTTAGCGGATCAGCTGATAAGCGGCTTAGCGGCTTGTGAAAAGGGGGGGGGGAAACCCTGCAGGATCTCGCAAGACATTTTCGTCTTGCGAAGCAAGCCCATAGGAAATTCGTTTTGCGAAGCACCTCCAAAACGGAAAACCCTTTCGTCTAGCGGGTTTTCCGTCTTGCAAGGCATTCGTCTTGCGGGGCACCACTGTATAAGCATCTCCCTTAAAATTCCGCAGGCATTCACACCAATAAATGGCAAATGTAGAAGGAAATCCTACAGCGTGACCGTAAAAGCCAGTTTTTGTAAGGTCATGAATTTAAGCCGCACTTTAACTTTTCACGGTTGGAATTTGGGGGGGGGGAGTGTGGCTTATATTCAGGACAATATGGTACATCTCCAGGGACAATCCATTTCTGATCCACTGGGCAAGGATCTCCAGCTCTGGAAAACAGTCCCTTGGGTGCCCGGGGGTCCTTACCATTGGCCAGGCCCTCATCCTCCCTGGGCCTGGTTTTCATGTCCCTCTCCCTCGCCCGCAGCTCCGTCTAAGACCCAGATGTTCTATGGACCTGTAGAAGTGGTGGAAGGCCACAGGCCCTGTAAGTCGGTTTTGGCCCCCACTTGCATGCCCCATTGTCCATCGCTGCAAGGTTTTGGTTTCATACCCTCGCACTAGAGTCCTATCCACCTCTTTCTCCTCCTCTTCTGCATGGGTTTTGATGGCATGGGTGATGGGTTGTTGACACTCCTGTTTTCTACACCCACCCACCACCCTGCGCTACAGTCATCAGCATCACGCATGCTTCACGTCTAGGGTGACATCCATTTGCTCCCGCATGGCTCGGTTCCTTTCCTGATTCTGCGGGGTCTTGAGGGCACAGCACATGAGCCTTTCTCCATCCCTGTTCTGAAATTGCCACTGGCATGGACTCCCCACCCCGGCTTCCCAGAGCCGCCTTGAACTTTCCTCTCCCCAATTTAGCTGGACCCGCGGTCCACCCCATGGCCACCATTGAGCCCTCGCAGCTGAGCGTCCAGCCAGGACAAGCGGCCGAGTTCCGCTGCATCGCTACCGGGAGCCCAGAGCCCACGGTGGAGTGGATTGGTAAGCTTCCTGCTAGGTGACGCCGTGGCCCCTGTCTCCGAAAAGTCACCTTCCGTCAGGCATCCCCAGGAATTTTCCAGGGGACTTGGACTTGTAAATAGTTAAAAGAGTATTGGGAAGTGATCCATAACAAATTGAGAAAAAAATAATAACTCCTCTCTCTCCTCTGAGAGCCAGTGTGGTGTAGTGGTTAAGAGCGATGGACTCGTAATCTGGTGAACCGGGTTTGATTCCCCGCTCCTCCGAATGCAGCTGCTGGGAGACCTTGGGCTAGTCACACTTCTCTGAAGTCTCTCAGCCCCACTCATCTCGCAGAGTGTTTGTTGTGGGGGAGGAAGGGAAAAGGAGATTGTTAGCTGCTTGTAAAGGTAAAGGGACCCCTGACCATTAGGTCCAGTCGTGACCGACTCTGGGGTTGCGCGCTCATCTCGCTCTATCTATTTATCTACTTGCACTTTGACATGCTTTTGTACTGCTAGGTTGGCAGGAGCAGGGACCGAACAACGGGAGCTCATCCCGTGGCGGGGATTCAAACCGCCGACCTTCTGATCAGCGAGTCCTAGGCTTGGTGGTTTAACCCACAGTGCCACCTGCGTCCCTTTTTAGCTGCTTGTAGGCATGGCCAAACTCAGCCCTCCAGATGTTTTTCGGACTACAGTTCCCATCATCCCTATCAACTGGTCCTGTTAGCTAGGGATGATGGGAGTTGTAGTCCGAAAACATCTGGAGGGCCGAGTTTGATCATGCCTGCCTTAAAAGGAGTGAAAGGTGGGATATCAAGTCCAAACACCACCTCCTCCTCCTCCTCCTCCTCCTCTTCTTCTTCTTCTTCTTCTTCTTCTTCTTCTTCTTCTTCTTCTTCTCTCTATCAGGTGGACAAGGGGGCGTCATCTCCTCTAAAGCCGTCATCCAGGGTGGGATCCTGCGCTTCCCGGCAGCGGAGCCTTCCGACGAAGCCCAGTATTTGTGCCGTGTGCGGAATAGCGCCGGACAACATATGGCCCGTGCCTTCTTACAAGTACACAGTACGTTGTGCCCTGGCGAGAAGTGGGTGGCGCGCCATCCATTTGACCCGTCTCTGGGGGTGCCGAATGTGCCCCTGCAGGAGGACAGAGCCCGCCTGCTCCTGGGTCAGGCCAAAGGGAGCCCACCCGGTTCAGCCGCTGATAACATTACCTTCCTCCATGTGTCTAATCTTCTTTTAAAGTCATCCAAGTTGGTGGGGAGTCTGGAGCCAGCACTGCTGATAATATTATCTAGTGGTGGGCAGAGAAAGGAAGCCTTTTCTTTCTCGCCACTCTGGCTTCATTATCAGAGAGGGCAGCCATCAGGGTGGATAAAAATAAATGATTAAAAATAATAATCGTATTTTTTTAAAATTTAAATCTGATTTTTAAAATAAAATGCTTTTGGGGGAAAAACCTTTCTAAAGATAGTTTTCCAATTAAGTTACATTATAGTCCAAAGGCTATTCATCAGGAAGTAAGGATTTGTTTAAAGTTTTTCATGTGTGCTAAAACTCAGTCTAAGTTTTTTTAAAAAAATTGTTTAACCACATCAGTTAACAACCATGGATGCATCTGCTATAATATTATTATTTTAGTTAAATAAGTTGTTTAAATTGTTATTAAGGAAATGATTATTTTTCTCCTTCTGATGAAGTACAGCAGAAAAGTTGTCCAAATATAAACGGTTAACTTATTAAACCTCACAATAATTTCATCGTTATCGGTCTATGTATTTCTAATAGCAGTGCTCCCCCCCTAAAAAAATGTTTAGGGGGTACTCTCATTTTGACTCAAGAAAATCACCATTTTATAGTTCAAATCAGGAACAATAAATACAGTAAATGGACAAAGATTCACAAAATGTTTAGGGGTATGCGTACCCCTGCGTACCCCCCAGAAAAAAGCACTGTCTAATAGTATAACCAAATCAGTAATTTTTGATATAACTGTAAAAACTACTCTGCTAATTTATTATTCCAAAAATGAAACCTTCATTTAGTTCTCAGTATTAAGATGAGACCAACAAGAACGAGTCTTTCGGGGGGGGGGGAGGGTTTTAAATCAGGCATAGGCAAACTCGGCCCTTCAGATGTTTTGGGACTACAACTCCCATTATCCCTGACCACTGGTCTTGTTAACTAGCGATGATGGGAGTTGTAGTCCCAAAAAATCTGGAGGGCCTGAGTTTGCCTATGCCTGATTTAAATCAAGTCTTTTTGACTAGTAATTTAAATTGTGATTTAAATTTATTTGATTTAAATCAAATCCACCCTGGCAGCCATCTCTGTCAAGTATCTCTCCCTTCCCTAGGCCAGGTCAAGAGGGGCTGGGGGGGGGCAATTGGAGGGGAAGAGGTGGGCTCACCTGCCGCTCTGCTCTTCCTCAGGTGCCAGCATCCCACAAGTGCAGGTGAGCCCAGAACGGACAGAGGTCCACGAAGGGAGCACCGTGAGGCTCTACTGCCGAGCAGGAGGCTCCCCTGCTGCTACCATCACCTGGGAAAAAGAAGGAGGCCGTTTGCCCCCACAGGTGAGTCTCAGAAGAATAGGGGGCGATGGGCTTCTGTGCTTCAGAGAGGCCTCCCCACCACTGAAAATGTCAGTGTCAAAGGGGATTCAAGGAGGAGAGGGAAAAGGGGCCCAGGATGGGAGAGGCCAGTGATGTTAGCTGGAAGCCGTCCCCTCTGCTCCAAAATAAAAGCCCTAACGATGCTTCATCTTAGGGTTGTCTGCCCTTACTCAGCCGTGAAGCAAAGGCACTCTGCACGTGCCTAAGTCTACTCTTGTTCCTTGCTACTCCTTCGCATAGAAGCCAGCTCTACACATTTGCAAGTGATTGTGCTCGCCTAGTTGCATGTTTCGGTGAGCGTGTATGCAGGACCCCAGAGGGGGCATACTTTTGAGAAGTTACAGTAGAGGTGTTCGCATGTTACATTGAACCATCTGAGTACCTGTTATAAGAAAAAACTTCTCCTTTTCCCTTATGGGGTATCCAGGATCCCGTATAGAGTCCTTAAGTGGGTTCCCTATCAGCAGGAGAAAATAACAGAGGCCAACCAGAGAGTATTGAGAAGCAAAGCGGCTAGTAAGCCTGATCTTTATCCAACTGTTGCAACAGGGTGCTCACTCACCACACGCAGGAGGGAGGAGGAACCCAGAACAATGGTGCGCAAGCCCCTATAAAGAGTTTTGAAATTGCCCACCTTGTAGCTCAAGACCACGGCCTAAAACATCATACATACATACATCATAGAAGGAGGCAATCTTCAGCAGAAATCCTGTTTGCCAGGATACCTGACAGTGGTCACTGATTGCTTTACTTGGGTAGCCTGGCCATTCTTTTGTGATGGTTAATAGTTTAGTTCCACAGTCCAAGTTAGAGGCTTGCCCTATTAATACACAAATACACCCTTAAGACAGGATTTGTAAGCAAAAGACAATGGGAAGTCTTTCCCCATTTTCCTCCCTTACTGCAGAGGAATATTTGAAGTCACTGGGAGAGTTAAAATGGCTTCAGGATTGCTCTCCTGTACTATTTCAGACACATGGTTTATATATTATATATTAAATGTATTTTAATATTTTGTTGGAAGCCGCCCAGAGTGGCTGGGGAAGCCCAGCTAGATGGGCGGGGTATAAATAATAATAATAATAATAATAATAATAATAATAATAATAATAATAATAATAATAATAATGTTTGCCTTGTACATTTATGAACATTCAGTTTATATTTGAGACCTTAGAATTCTTATAACTGTGTTCACAAATACTTGAGCTGTACAGCCTGCCCAGCATCCCATCCTTCGCTGACTTTGTCACTGTTCGACTTTTGTCTCCTGGAATTTGTGGGGGCTTGTTCCAAGCAGGGACCCAGGCCAGGGCTGCCAGATCCTTCCTTCCTCCCTCCCTTCACTCTCTTCCTCTTCCTTCTGTCTCCTCCGGACTCCTCGCTCCTGCTCCCTTCCTCTCTTTCTTTCTTCCTCCTCCCCTGGATAGGCTCTCTCCGTCTTTGGCTTCTTCCACTTCCAAGGTGACAGCCTGGAGGTTCTCCAGCGGCGGATCCAGGAGCTCCAACAGGTAGCCCTCTGCACAAGCCACTCCTTGGCCTCTTCTCCTTACCCCTCCATTTCCTAGCTGATTTCTGTCTCTTTGTTGCTTCCAACTAAGCATACTCAGAGTAGAGCCATTGGAACCAATAGACCTAAGTTGGTTATGTCCTTTAACTTCAGTGAGTCTATTCTGAGTAGGGCTAGCACTGGACACAATCCCCACCTCTCCATTTTACACTTCCTGTCCTTCTGGTTCTCCGGCAATGATGGGCAGATTTGTCAATTTCAATTTGTCATTTTTCCAGTTTTTAAATTCAGTTCTCTACACCAGTTTGTAATTTATTTTTTAAAGTCCACATTAAAATTCATCAGTATTTGAGTGCAGATTTCTCCCAATACAGTTGTACCTTAGAAGTCAAACAGTATCCGTTCCGGAAGTCCGTTTGACTTCCAAAAAGTTCAAAAACTAAAGCTCGGCTTCTGATTGGCTGCAGGAAGCTCCTTCAGCCAAACGGAAGCCGTGGGTGCCCCATCGGACATTCGGGAGCCAAAATGTTCAAGAACTAAGCTGTTCGAAAACCAAGGTATGACTGTACACACTTTTTTTGTTTTTTTAAAGCAGTTTGGTCTAAATTGCACATTTTTGCAAAGCAATAATTTCCCTAATGCAGTGCATTTTTGTACATTATCTTCAATCATACATGCAGTTGTAGCCTCGATTTAGGCTAGCATGCGTGATTTTATACTTACTGCTTAGCTGGGCAGCTGCACTGCGAAATTCAGAGGCGTGCGTACCTTGAAGGGTGGTTGCATGCTGGGCTGTGTCCAACTTAAGTTCCTCAGAGCAGACCCTTTGAAATTGACGAACCTGAGTTAGTCCTATCCATTCACTGGGTCTGCTCAGAGTGGCACCAGCACTGGGTACAACCCTATGTTTAAGAATGTGCCAATTAAGTTCACCTTTTAAATGTGAACAGGATTGAATTCTGCTCCACATTTATTCTCCGGTGGGGAGGAAAGAGGTCCATTCTCATCATGCCATCTGCCCCAGGCCTCCCTCCCTCATCTACCCCTCCTGAACATGCCTCAGAAACCACAAGCCACAGGGCTTATGTGGAATGTCTGCGTTCTCCACCAGTTGCAGCTTCAAGAGGGAAATGGGGCTCAATGTCCCTCCCCCTCCGCCATGACTGGGGGTAGGTAACCTGGTCTTCTCCACATACCCTCTGTCCCCAACTCTGCCCTCATCACAGTCAATCAGGACTCCAGGGTGGATGTTTCCCTTCCCCCTGACCCGTCTAACATTAATCTATTTGTTCGCTTGCTTGCTTATTTGGATAGAGAGGTTTGTATCAGCCTGCTTTCTCTCTCCAAAACGGAGCTGTCCGAAGCAGCTGTTTGCTAAGCTTTGGACTCCAACTCAGCCCCATGCTCCCATCAGCTCCAGTGCCATACAGCTGAGCTGGATGGGGCAGACTGGGTATTGGAGTGTAAAGTGTCTGAAGGGCAGCATGCTGGGGCCAATTGAGCAAACACCACAATCGGCCGATAGCATCACTTCACGGAAAAGCAAACTGAATCCTTCAAATGCATTTGTGGAGATGGCCCTTTGCTCAGTCACCACCAGATGCTTGCTGTGGTTTAAAGGTAAAGGGACCCCTGACCAATAGGTCCAGTCGTGGCCAACTCTGGGGTTGCCACGCTCATCTCGCTTTACTGGCCGAGGGAGCCGGCGTACAGCTTCCGGGTCATGTGGCCAGCATGACTAAGTCGCTTCTGTTGAACCAGAGCAGCACGTGGAAACGTCATTTACCTTCCCACTGGAGTGGTACCTATTTATCTACTTGCACTTTGACGTGCTTTCGAACTGCTAGGTTGGCAGGAGCAGGGACCGAACAACGGGAGCTCACCCCGTGGCGGGGATTCAAACCGCCGACCTTCTGATTGGCAAGTCCTAGGCTCTGTGGTTTAACCCACAGCGCCACCCGCGTCCCTTGCTGTGGTTTACATGGCTTCATTTTAGGCAATCTGGCAGGGGCACTTTTTTGCACATCAGAGGCCTGCCTAGCAGCCAGCATGGCCTGTGGGGCATTGGAGCTCAGCCGCAGCTCCAGAAACACTCCAGTGACTCTCCTCTTCCTCCTTGCCCACAGTCCCGCGCAGAGAGGACAGACATTGCCACCTTGGTCATCCCCTCTATCACAGTGGCTGACGGCGGGGTGTACCACTGTGTGGGGAGCAGCGCATCAGGAGTCGGTCGGGCAAGAATCGAGGTGATGGTCATCCGAGGTAAGTAGAGGGTTTTCTTCGGACTGGGCCTTGGTGGCCATCAGCCCCATGCAGAGACTCCACCATCGGGGTCCTGGCAGGATTTTTTGAAAGGACACATTCACACGGTACATCCAAAGCACTATGACACTACTTTACACAGTCAGCATGGCTTCCCCCAAAGAATTCTGGGAGCTGTAGTTTGGTAAGGGTGCTTCGAGGTCTTAGAAGGTACCCCTCTCCGAGCTACAGTTCCCAGAGTTCCCTGGGAAGAGGGATCGATTGTTAAAACCACTCCAGCAATTGTCGCTCTGGCGACTTTCCTGACAGGATTCATTGCAGATTAGGAGCTCATGTCAACATTCCATTGGCAGAGATAACTATGTACAGTGGTACCTTGGTTCTCAAACTTTATCCATTCTGGAAGTCTGTTCCAAAACCAAAGTGCTCCAAAGCCAAGGCATACTTTCCCATGGAAAGTAGCGCAAAACGGATTAATCCATTCCAGACTTTTAAAAGCAACCCCTAAAAGCAGGGCTTCAGCTTACGTCAGTTCCGTGTTACGAACGGGCCTCCAGAACGGATCCCATCCGTAACATGAGGTTCCACTGTACTATAAAATCAATCAATCATTCATTCAATAGCTGAACTGGGTTCCGCACAGTCACAAAAACAAATTAAGCGGAAAAGCCTCAAATGCAAAAATGCAAAATAAAGAGCAAAAACAAAAGCACCAGGCTTAATCCATTCCAGAAGTCCGCTTGACTTCCAAAATGTTTGAAAACCAAGGTGCAGGCGCCCCGGAAACAATAGCCGACAGCTGCATTGGACCTTAGGCTTCCGAAAAAAGTTCAAAAACCAGAACACACACTTCCGGGTTTTTGGCGTTTGGGAACCAAGGTGTTTGAGAACCAAGGTACCACTGTAGTGATTAATGTTAGCCAGGCTATAATTCTTGGTTATCAAATTAATGTCTGAGGAACAGAGATAACAGAGATTCACTTCCAACACTCTAAAAGGGCTGCTTTCTTGCCAAGGGACTGAGAAACCTTCAACGTTAAATGTTCAATGTTCAGAAAAAGTCAGAAGCCCAAGGCAGTATAAGTTCCTCAACTACGTTTATTCAACATTGTCAGTGACAATGGCTCACTCATAGGAAAACAAAGCCCGAATTCCAGAACTACACAATGAAAGCGGCAACAAGAACTGACAGTTGACAGTTGAAAGTGCATGCACTTACATGCCATTAGAACGTTCGTCAACCAACGCTTATACAGTTGGTTAGAACGCACCTTGTAACATAAAAAGTGTTAAACCCAATACATAACAACTTACTTCCGGATTTTTGGCGTTTGGGAACCAAGACGTTTGAGAACCAAGGTACCACTGTAGTGATTAGTGATAGCCAGGCTATAACTCTCGGTTATCAAATTATCTCTGAGGAACAGAGATAACAGGAATTCGCTTCCAACGCTCTGAAAGGGCTGCTTTCTTGCCAAGGGACTGAGAAATGGACCCAGGCAGGGTGTGTAACCTAGAGTGAAAGAACTGTAATTATGCCAAAACAACCGCGTAATAGCCCTAGGGCAAAGATCCGCTAAACCTCCCTTTCCTTAATTATTAAACCTCCCTTTCCTTAATTATTTCTGAAACTCATATAAATTGTGACTGAAGCTATCTATCTGCCAATTAAAACATTCATCTGAAATACGAGCCACCTACTGGCTTAAGAGGTGACGCCACTAAGGGGCTCAAAACAAAACAAAAAGCATGCTTTAATCATACGTAGCAAAGAGATTTTAAACAGCTTAGAGATTCTCCAACACTGCGAAACTTCCATTTTATTTTGTTCTATTTTTAATCCTCCGCTTCACTGCTGAATGTGCTGGTTGTAATGTGAGGTACGTTTTGTGGAAAACCCTGAGGGGTAGGCTGCAGAGTTTCGGAGGGACACGTTTGCTGCCTTAGTGAGATTATATATAAACCCACACGCTTGGGACAAACTCGCCACGAAAAAGATTCAGGAGTTTTGAGCGGAGAAGGAAAAAGAATCACTTAGCATGAGTTCTTGGCCAATATGGTTGGTGGAAACTCCACATCCAGAGGCACTCTCCCTCTGAACGCCAGTTGTGGCAGGGAAACAAGGGGGGCTTGTTGTGGGGAGACTGCTGTTTTGTACTCCAGCACTGTTTGTGGTCTTCCCGTCCTGCTGTAAATCAGGATCCAAGACTGCATGGGCTCGCTTGGGCCTGACCCAGCTTGCTTATCCTTGTAGCTGCAGGCCTTTCCCCGACGGTGAAGATTGAATCGTCATCCTCTTCAGTCATAGAAGGGCAGACCTTGGATCTGAACTGCATCGTGGCCGGCCAGCCAGCTGCATCCGTCACATGGTACCGGCGAGGAGGCGCCTTGCCTTCCAACCACCAGGTAGGTACAGGTTGGGCTGACAGGAGGTGAAGTCCATCAATTTTTGGAAGCCTGCAGGTTCTCCGTCCCCAAGGCAGAGTTGTGAACAAGATAGGCAGGGGCAGTGAAGGCAAGTGATGGAGGTAGCCAGGGGCAGTGAAAGCAAGTGACTGCCTACTTTAGGGATAGGGAACCTCTCTCTAGATCAGCCTTTCTCAACCTGTGGGTCCCCAGATGTTGTTGAACTACAACTCCCATCACCCCTAGCTAGCAAGGCCAGAGCTCAGGGATGATGGGAGTTGTAGTCCAACAACATGTGGGGACCTACAGGTTGAGAACCGCTGCTCTAGATGTCGATGGATGCTGAAATTTCATCATTCCTGGCCAGCATGGCTAGAGGTCATGGGTGGTGATGGGAGTTGTAGTCTAATAACATCTGGAGGGCCCCAACTTCCTTGGACCTGAATTCAAAAGAGGAGGTGGTTAGGGAAAATCAAGGCCAGTGAAGGTTTAGTTCAGGCATGTGCAGAACCTGTGTGGTTCTCTTTCAATTAATGAATTGAAGAAAAATGTTTAAAAGTACTTTTTTTAAAAAAAACAAAAAACCAGAGTCCTTTTCATTTGGGATAATTCAGACTCAAATTCCCAGGTGTCAAAAAAGGTTATTTATGTATGCCACTACTGCGGCCCGTGTTTCGCTAGCCAAAAAATGGAAAGCGAGCGAGGTCCCAGCCAAAGAAGAATGGCAACTCAAGCTGGCAGAATATGCGCAGCTTGCAGACTTAACATATTGAATAAGAGAACAAGAACCCACGTTTAGAGAAGATTGGAAAACGTTTATTGAATATATGGGAAATAATTGTGCACAGCTGAAAACACAGGCAGCATTAAGATAAATTCAACAGTGTAATTAAGCTTTGATGGATGCAATAATGGAATACTGAATGGCCTAGTTTTTGTAAAATATGCAGGGATTTATGATGTGTAAAATGAACCGTGGAAAGAGAAGAAGGGAAATCATTGATATTTTAAGGATGTAAAAATGAGTATTTTAAATTGTAAAACAGAAAATTTAATAGAAATGATATACAAAAAATAATATGAATGGCTTCCTGTATCCTCAGGTCTACGGGTCCGTCCTGCGCATCCTGCAAGTATCCGCGGCGGACTCGGGCGAGTACGTCTGCCGCGTCAGCAATGGGGCAGGCCCTAAGGAAGCCTCCATCATGGTGACCGTACAACAGCAAGGACACACACATGGTTCTGCACATGGTAACGCTTCCAGGACCTTTCAGGCCATAGAAGGGGAGAGGGCTCTTGTGCACAAACATACATATATCGTTGATTGGAACCTAATGATAGACAGGTGGCAGGGAGGACATAATGCTTGGAGTTGGACTCTTTGGGTCTCTTCCAACTCTACAATTCTGTGATTCTATGACCTGCCCCCCAGGGCCAAAAACATTTCCCACCTTTGACTCAAAGTATTTGATGACTGTAGAGGAGTGTATTTTGGGGGGGGGGGAGCTGCCCCATAGCAGCTCACTTTACTCCATTGCCTCCCAACTTGTTACAAACTGTTTTTAATGTTGTTTTAGCATTGTATCTCACCCTGTATCTTAGGGTGAAGAGCGGGCAAGAAATAAATAAATTAATGCAGTGGGGTGGGGGCCCTGCCTCTCCCTGCCCACGCTATGGGACTCCCAAGGGACTCTTCTTCCATTTTTCCTTCCTCTCCGCAGGGAGTGTACTTCTGAGCACCCAAGTGCAAAGAATGGAGGGCGCGATGCTCCCCTCTGCAAGAGGGCGGGGCTTCCCACAAGCTCCTGGCTTTCCCTGGTTGGGAGCAGGACGCTGGGCCTCTCTGATCTGGGTTCTTCTTGTCTCCGTAGACACCCCACCAATCAGGATCGAATCTTCATCGCCGTCCATCACCGAGGGGCAAGACTTGGAGCTGAGCTGCCTCGTCACAGGCCAGTCGCGGGCCAGGGTCACGTGGTATAAGCGAGGAGGGTCACTCCCGGCAAATCACAAGGTATGGAGTTGGTGTGTGTGCCTGGCCAACGATGCCCACAAACCCAGCTCCAGGGGGACTCAGACTGTCCCTTTGCCCCCTCCACCCTGCAGATATCTGGCTACCATTTGAGGATTTTGGCGGCTACGGCAGCAGACTCCGGAGAATACGTGTGCCGGTTGAGCGACGCCAGCAGCGGGGCGGTGCAAGAAGCCTCCATTGTGGTCACCATCTATGGCACCTCCCAGAGTGAGTCAAACAATGCTCTGGCCATGCGCCGCCTCGCCAGTCAGAGGCAGTGAATACCAGCTGCTGGAAACCACAACGGGGTGGGGGGGAGAGTTGCTATTTTGCTCGGGTCATGCTTGTGGGCTTCCCTTGGGGCATGTGCTGGGCAGTGGTGTAGCAGGGGTTGCCAGCTCCCAGGGTAAGGCAGGTATCCTCAGAACTGCCTGCTGATAGGCTGGAACAAAGGGGCAATAGCTCGGTGACCTACCTGAGTGGCAGCCATGGCAGCCCATGAGCGTCGAGCATTGCGGAGAGGGGGACGGGGGATTGGTTGGGAGTCCATGTAGAAGGAGCCCTAGCAAGTGTCCGTCACCCAAATTTGTTCCTCATTCCGCCCATACGGACATTGGGAGATTTTCTGTGTGCCCTTAGCCTGCCCCAGTAGCCAGATGCTTCTTAGGTTTATAGGCTAAGCCAGGCATCCCCAAACACAGCCCTCCAGCTGTTTTGGGACTACAGTTCCCATCATCCCTGACCACTGGTCTTGTTAGCTAGGGATAATGGGAGTTGTAGTCCCAAAACAGCTGGAGGGCCGAGTTTGGGGATGCCTGGGCTAAGCGTTTAATTTCTTCTGTTGTGGTTATCATCCTCGGCTGCCGGTCTCCGGAGCACCCTCCGAAAAGATACCCTCCAACCTTCAACCGAAGGTGCCACCTTGCTGCACCAGGTCCAGGGAGGTTGGGGGGCAATGGGCCACCTGCCAGTGTGGGGTCCATGTACCAGACCATGCCATCCCTTGATGCCGGTCCTGTTCTGGTCTTTAGCGTTTTGGAGAGGACTGCATCTCCATGGCAGAGCAACTGCTTGGCATGCAGAAGGCTCCAGGTTAAGTTCACTGGCAGGTGGGGCTACGAAGAGACTCCCTGCCTGCCTGAATCCCCGGAGAAGCATTGCTGCCAACCAGTGCATGCAGCACTGAGCTAAAGGGAACAAAGGTCTTCCTGCGATCCTTTCAAAAGCAACCCTTCATTCACAATCCTGAGGACTAGAATCTTGCTGGGGGTTTTATGGGAAGGGCCTTAGCTCCGTGGAGCTTTGCATGGAGAAGGTCCCAAATCAGTCGCTGGCAGCATCTCCAGGTAGGGTTTGAGAAAACTCCCTGAGACTGTGGAAAGGCTCCACCGCTCAGTGCAGACAATCCCCAGCCAGATGGACCAAGGAGCTTATACAAAGGCGGCTTCTTCTCTTCCTCCCGCTGAACTCCCAGCCTCAGGAATCACCCCTCCGCTGAGGATCGAGTCTCCATCGCCCTCCATTGTCGAAGGACAGACCTTGGACTTGAACTGTGTCGTGGCAGGACAGGCAGGTGCCACAATCACATGGTACAAGCGTGGCGGGACCCTGCCGGCCAATCACCAGGTATGTAGGCAGTGCGGTCTGGGGGCTCGGGTTGGTGATTCTTCCTTGGCCCTCTCTTTCCTGGCCTTGCTGGCTGGCCAGCAGTAAACCTTGGCATGCAGAAGAACCCAGGTTCGGTCGCCAGGTAAGGATGGTAGGAAGCAATTTCCGATGCCTCTTAGACAGGCACTTTCTGCTGATATAGGAAAGCCCTCCATCTCTATTGGCCTTCTGCTGGTTTTGAAGGCACATCTGTTTAGACAGCCATTCCCTATTGACCCAAGTCTGCTGTTTTAATGGAATTGCTTTGCGTGGCAAGTTCCCAACCCCCCCAGGTGGAAATAATGACACAGTTATTAAGGTTAATGGGCTAAAAAAGGCCACAACTTTATCGGTTACAAGTGATGAGTGGTATTGGCTTAGGCATTGGTCCTAACCAACTATATTCGACTCCAGCCCATCTACTTGAAGTCCAGGAAGGGTTAGGGTTAGTAGGGGGAGTCCTGCTGATGCACATCAACTAGGAACTCCCCCGGGGTCAGCGATAGGGGGCGTGCCTTAGGCCCTCACCTCCCTAGACTTCGGACAGGGCCACGCCCCCCTGAATCCTTTAACGGACTACCCTTCGATATGAAGGGCAGGTGATGGCGCTACCTCCTCTCTTCCATCTACAGAACTATACCAATGCCTAACTGCCAATACCCAGAAAGTTGTTATGATTTGCTACGAGGTAGGCGAACACCAAGTGGCTGGTGCCAATTTGCCAAGTGGAAAAAATTCCTACCAGGCCCCTCAATGGCGACCAACCAAGGTCCATAGCAAGGTCAAAGGACGAAAACCTTATAGGGTGGGAGGATGGGAAAAACAGGAACAGCTGGCGGGCGGCAAAGAGGGAGGGCCTCATCCTGCCTATATAGGGCATGCCACACCCCCAAACCAGCCGATTGGCCAGCTAGGGGGTGATGTGGCCAGGAATCCCCCAATCGCATGGAGGGGCCATGAAGCCCGCAACCCCACCTCCTCCTTAAGGCGGAAGTGGCTTTATTGCACAGTGTAACCACGCCGTTAATTTTTCAATGATTAAGGCGATTGATTGCACATTTTAACTGCGGTGTATTTTTTAAAGGTGGTTTCGCATTTTAACAATGTTGCACAATTGGTTTTTATGTTCTGCAAACCACTTAGAAGCCACCCGATAGTTATGCCGTCTTGAGCCAGCGTTGCGTAGTCTTTAGAGTGTCAGACTAGGACCTGGAAGAGACCAGGGTTCGAATCCCCACTCGGCCATGAAGCTCCCTGGGTGTGACTTTGGGCCGCAGTCACTCACTCTCATCCTAACCCACCTCACAGGGTTGTTGTGGCGATTAAATGAGAAAGGGGAGATCCATGTACATCACCCTGAGCTCCTTGGAGAAAACAGTGATATATAAATTCTGCGCATGCAACCAGCAAACGAACTAGTGTTTGGAGGAACCAGCGAGGGCCTTTGCCTCTGGGCACGTAAGCCCAGAAACCCCTTGCCCCAGCAGACTCAGGCAGCCACTTCCCAGGGAGCATTTAGACTCCAGGCAGCTTTATTCTGGTAGAATAAATGGCCTGCTCATTTCTCGAGCCTTCTCTGAAGGCAGTGTGGTACAGTGGTTAGAGTGCAGGTGTGGGTGGAGCCTCAAGTCCATGGCCTGAATCTTAACACAGTTTTGGAAGAAGCCGGGGAAATCACTGTAGAAATGAAGAGGGCGCAAGAGTCGTTCTGGTTCGCAGGCTGAGACCCTACCTGCCTGCGGACTGTCTCGCCAGAGTGGTGCATGCTCTGCTTATCTCCCACTTGGACTACTGCAACGCACTCTACGTGGAGCTACCTTTGAAGGTGACCCGGAAACTACAGCTAATCCAGAATGCGGCAGCTAGACTGGTGACTGGGAGTGGCCGCCGAGACCATATAACACCGGTCCTGAAAGACCTACATTGGCTCCCAGTACGTTTCCGAGCACAATTCAAAGTGTTGGTGCTTACCTTTAAAGCCCTAAACGGCCTTGGCCCAGCATACCTGAAGGAGCATCTCCACCCCCATTGTTCAGCCTGGACACTGAGGTCCAGCTCCGAGGGCCTTCTGGTGGTTCCCTCCCTGCGAGAAGCGAGGCTACAGGGAACCAGGCAGAGGGCCTTCTCAGTAGTGGCGCCCTCTCTGTGGAACGCCCTCCCGTCAGATGTCAAGGAAATAAACAACTACCTGTCTTTTAGAAAACATCTGAAGGCGGTCCTGTTTAGGGAAGTTTTTAATGTTTAATGTTTTGTTGTGTTTTTAATATTCTGTTGGGAGCTGCCCAGAGTGGCTGGGGAAAACCCAGCCAGATGGGTGGGGTATAAATTATTATTGTTGTTGTTGTTAAATTATCATGTAAATGAATGAATTAATGCTATTGCGAGAGATGATGATGATGATCCTGCTTCTCCCACCATTCCCAGATCTCCGGCTCTCACCTGCGCATCCCACAAGCCTCCACAGCTGACTCTGGCGAATACATCTGCCACGTCAACCTGGACTCCATCGTCAGAGAAGCCTCTGTCATCGTCTCCGGCACCAGATCTGCCTCCAGTAAGCATCGCCCCCTGCAGGAAGGGAGGGGAAACATAAACAGGGTGGGCTGGGGTGATGGGAGCAAACCTGCCATTCTTTGACGCCTGCTGGCCGGCTTGGCCTTCCTTCACCTCTCTCTCTCTCCACCTGGCTCTCCCAGCTTTAGACATCACCCCCTCCATGAGGATCGAGGCCTCGTCCCCCCACGTTGCCGAGGGACAAACCTTAGAGCTGGACTGCATCATCGCCCACCAGGATCAGGCCACAGTCACGTGGTACAGGCGTGGAGGAGCCCTCCCTGCCAGCCACCAGGTATGGGGCGCCTGCCCAGTTTTCCCCTGGCATTTGCCCCGAGTGCCAAGTATTGAGCATTCCCTGTTCAAGATCTCCAAGCAGGGCTGGGAATGTCCCCTGGAGAGTTGATTCCACCCAGTGTAGTCTGTACTGAGCTAGATGCAACAAGGGGCCCAACTTGACGTAAGGCAGCTTTTGATTTTGCTATTTTGCGACACTTTGGAACTCCCTGCCTATTGAGATCATGCAGTTCCCTTTTGGCGCCTGCCAAAAACATTATCATTTGCTTCATTTTTTAATTTCACCATTATTATTATTATTGTTATTATATAAATTTATTTATTTGGTTTTTCAGATTAAAGTTTTACAATCACCTATCCAACATACCTCATAAAAACCAGATTCCAAGGAATCTCCTGGACTTCCCTCCTCCCCTTTGTAGGTCCTGTTGTTAATCATTTCCTCCTGCATCTTTTATAGTAATCCAAACCTTTTACATCTCCATTGTATCCAAAATTCACCCTTAAACTACAAGTGTCATTCCGATTCTACTTACTTGCGATTTTAAATGTTTACAATGATTTTTAAGATAAATTATACATTTTCCCCATTCCTTATTAAAATTTTGGTCTTCCTGATTTCTAGTTCTTACAAGATGAAGAAACAACAAAATAGACCGCAAAGGTCGCACATGTAATAATCTGATCCAATATGTTCTAGTTTCAATAAGCCTGTCGGAATTTTAACCTGTTTCAGTATTTTAATATTTTGTCTGTTTTAAACTGTTGCCATAAATGTTCTCGACCTTATTGTTTTATCTTTTTGTGACCCGCTTCCAGGTTTATTTCTTAGAATCAAATAAACAAAGGACGAGATGCATGCTTTTTTTTTTTAAAGGACGTACACCATTGCAGTTAGGGCATGTGCTTCGGAACCTGGTAACAACAACAACATCAACAAAAATAAATAATTTTATTTATACCCCGCCCTCCCCAGCCAAGACCGGGCTCAGGGCGGCTAACACCAGATATAAAACAATTGATTGAAATACAACTTAAAAAACAAGATTAAAATACAACATTAGAATGCAGTCTCCTTTCAGTAGAAACTCAAATCAAAAATTTTGGTAGGACTGGGAGAAACTCCCCAGGGAGCTGCTGGTGGTCAGTGTAGTCAGTACAGAGCTAGATGGACCCAGGTGTTGGGGTCTGATGGGAGTTGTAGTCCAAAACACCTGGAAGGGCCTGGGTTGAGGGATGCCAGATTAGCTTAGCCAGACTAAAAACTCACATCGTTAACGAATATGCCTTTAAATTGGAAACAACTTCCAGGCCTTCGGATCCCGCTTGCGGCTGGTGAAAGTCTCTCCGGCGGATTCTGGCGAGTACGTCTGCCGCGTCAGCCGCGATCCTGCCACCCAGGAGGCCTCGGTCTTTGTCACCATCCAGCAGGGCGGCGCAGGCTCCTTCCGTAAGTCTAACAAATGCTCAGTGGCAGAGCACCTGCTTGGCCTGCAGAAGGTCCCAGGTTCCCCATTGGCAACATCTCCGGGTGGGGTTGGGAAAAGGCTCCCTGCTGGAGGGCCACTGCCAGTCAGTGTAGACGTTATTGAGCTAGTTTGATCACTAAAAGGTAAAGGGGGTGTGTGGGTGGCACTGTGGTCTAAACCACTGAGCCTCTTGGGCTTGCCGATCAGAAGGTCGGCAGTTCGAATTCCTGCGACGGGGTGAGCTCCCGTTGCTCGGTCCCAGCTCCTGCCAAGCTAGGAGTTTGAAAGTATGGCAGTGCAAGCAGATAAATAGGTACCACTGTGACGGGAAGGTAAATGGCGTTTCCATGCGCTCTGGTTTCCGTCACAACATTCCGTTGCACCAGAAGTGGTTTAGTCCTGCTGGCCACATGACCTGGAATGTTGTCTGTGGACAAACGCCGGCTCCCTCGGCCTGAAAGCGAGATGAGCACCGCAACCCCATAAGAAGAAGAAGAGCTTGGATTTGATATCCCGCCTTTCACTCCCTTTAAGGAGTCTCAAAGCGGCTAACGTTCTCCTTTCCCTTCCTCCCCCACAACAAACACTCTGTGAGGTGAGTGAGGCTGAGAGACTTCAGAGAAGTGTGACTGGCCCAAGGTCACCCAGCAGCTGCATGTGGAGGAGCGGCGACGCGAACCCGGTTCCCCAGATTACGAGACTACCGCTCTTAACCACTACACCACACTGGCCCTTAGTCGCCTTTGACTGGACTTAACCATCCAGGGGTCCTTTATCAGCCTCTGGCCTGATCCAACAGGCTCATCTTACACACTGAGCCTCCTCAGATTAGACCCACTGAAGTTAACAGACACAACAACCTTAGGGTCATCTATTTCAGCTGCTTGACTCTGAAATTGCACAATTTCTCTCTCCCTTCCCTCTTTTCTTTGGCAAAGCAGCCGCCGGTGTGACTCCCCCAGTACGGATTGAGTCTTCTTCCACCTCCCCCACTGAGGGCCACACGCTGGACCTGAAGTGCATCGTGGCAGGACCTGCTTCGCATGCCAGAGTCACGTGGCACAGACGAGGGGGTGCCCTCCCTGCCGGCCACCAGGTATGGGTTCAAGAGGCCATGGAACCAAGACATGGTACTCCAATGTTGTCAGGGGCTGGACTGAGGAGGAATGGTGGGGGCTGCTGCCCCCCTTCTCCTGAACCTTCCCAAAACAGGAGGACAGTATAGATTTAGATCAGCGGTTTGCAGAAGGGCATAGTTCAGAGGCTGCAGAAGGCAGAAGCTGTGAATTATTGGAAGAGGAACAGCAGAAAGAATCAGCAGCACCAAGGGAGGAACAGCTGACAGACTCGGTGTCCTTGGAAAGCATTCCTGACTCCCCCTCCCAGGACCAGGTGCGCATTGAGAGTAGGAGAACAGAAAACGCTGAGGCAGAAATCCCCGATTAGCCCACGCAGGGGTTAGGAGAGACATAGAGGTGTGGGACTTTACTTGGAGCAACGCCATTTCTAGAGAGAGACCGCGTTCCTTTGTCTCTCGCTGTGATTATTGAATAAATTAATTGGTAAGAACTCTTCTTTTTTTATCTGCTTCTTTGCTGCCACCGGGGGAGGGATCCGATTCCCCGAAGCCTGACAAATGTGCAAGATCCCCCCCCCCCCGCAAACACACACACCCTCTCATCCTAACTTGCCCCTCTCTCTTTCTCTCCTCCAAGGTCTCTGGCTCCATCCTGCGTATCCCGCAGGCTTCAGCTGCAGACTCCGGAGAATACGTTTGCCGCGTCACCAACGGGACGGCCGTCCACGAAGCCTCCCTCATCATCACCATCCAGGGTGGCCCGGGCACCTACTGTAAGTCTCCATTCTTTTTTAAAAAAATCTATTTATGCTTTTCACTAGTTTTATAATCATTTTAACATTTCAAAACTTGACTTCCTCCCCCATCTTTCTGCAGTTCCTTAAATTTATTTTTAATACCTTCTGCATATCCAAATTAACTCAATTTGCTCATTTATTCATCTACTTTAAATATATACTCTTACGAAACTGCAGGTTATTACAATAATCCTGCCAATGTTCTTATCTGTTTGCAATTTATCTGTAAATATTCCATAAACCATTTCCATTATTTTATAAAAAAGTTTGTTATCTTGATTTCTTATTTTTCTGGTAAGTTTTGCCATTTCTGCATAAGATCCATAAGTTTCTTTATCCATTCTTGCTTTGCTGGGATTTCTGCTTCTTTCTATTTTGGGACGAGTAACATTCTTGCCGCTGTAGTCGCATACATGAATAAGTTTCTGTACAGTTTAGGTAGTTCCGTCCCTATAATTCCCGACCTCTGTTCAAAAACCTCCCAACAAAAGAAAGATGAACGGCTCTTGACTTCAGAAAGATGTTTTGAATTGGTAAAACAGAAAGAAAAAGAAAGAAAGATATTTTGATTGTTTAGTCAGGGTCTCTTTTCTTGTTTGAGTTTGGGAGGGGTGGGGAGAACGTGTGTTTTCCGTCAGGTGAGTTGGCAACTTGGCAAAAGCTTTCTCTGCAGGAAACTAACAAATTCTCTCCCTCTTCCCACCTCTCTCCAACTCCTCTGGCTTCTCCAGCTGTGGGCGTCACCCCTCCGATACGGATTGAGACCTCCTCCGCGTCCGTTGTGGAGGGGCAGTCAGTGGACCTGAACTGCCTGGTGGCGGGTCAGTCGCAGCCAAGGGTCATGTGGTACAAGCGAGGTGGCGCCTTGCCCCTCAACAGCCAGGTAAGGGGGGGACGGACTTGGAGCTCTCTTGGGTCAGGGATGAATGGAGCAGAGGAGGGAGGATGAATCGCATTGGACTGGAGGGTTCCTCCCATACTCCACTGAGAAGCCAGGAGTGCAGCTGAACCCGGAGAGAGCATTTGGAGTAAGGAACCCAAGGCCAAGGGATGGGAACGTTGTGGTTCTCCAGTTATTGCTGGACTCGAACTCACATCATCACTGACCATGCTGGCTGGGGCTAATGGAAGTTGGAGTCCAGCAACACCCAGAGGGCCACAATTTCTCCACCTTCCACCTGCTGATCATTTTCTCTCTCCCTTGGAGCAGATCCTTGGATCTCGCCTCAGGATCCTGCAGGCCTCGGCGGCCGACTCGGGTGAATACATCTGCTACGTGAATGACGGCGACAGTCCACTGGAGGCCTCCGTTATTGTCTCCATCCCTGGGAGCTCCGGTTCTGCTTTTGGTACGTAGCCTGGGAAGCAGAACCCTGCCACAGGGCAAAGGTCCTGCAGGGAGAGGCGCCCAGGCCCCCAAATTGCAAACCGCCCCTTCAGATTTGGGAAAAACCACCTCACCGCTCTCCAGACTTTGAGGGTTGGTGACAGGTTGTGTGTTTCTGCAAAGTGCCCTCTGCACATGTCCAAGCCACACTTGCTCTTCGCTTGAGAACTGATGGTGGAAATAGGGACATTATTATTATTATTATTATTATTATTATTATTATTATTATTATATAATTATTATTAATATTATTAATAATAATAATCTTCAAAATTATTACAAATCAAACCAAATTACTTCAATTTAATACAATTTCTTAAAATCACGTTTCCCGCTCCTGTTGCAAACATATGTCAATCCTTTCCCCCCGTAGCCTCATCATCTCTTATTTCATATCCAATTAATCCTTCGCTTGTCCTTAGTCTATTCTTGCAGCTGCCCACATTCTTTCCCTCCTTGCAAACAGTGCCTCTGTTACATAATATAAATATAAAATCCATTTCATGTGTGCAGTCCTTCATTTACATTGCTGTTTCAGACCTGGTGTGCTGGGAGGATTAATTACTGTCTTCCATTCTTCAGTTCTTTGCAGTGTTTACTTTGATGGGACAAGGTCACATTCCATTCCTTCCACTGTTGACCAACTAGCGTACTCGCTGCTGCCATAAATAACATGTACAATCTCCGCCATTAAAATTCCCCTCTGGAGTTCTTCCTTGGCACACAGTTAAAACAAAGTCTTTTCTCAAATTCGGCCTCTTGCCAGATCTATTCTGCAGCCGTTCTTTCTTCGTGCTGTTGTAAATAAAAATTGCCCTTTCCCTTATGGGGTATTCAAGAGCCCATATAGAGTCCTTACATAGGTTCCCTATTGGCAGGAGAAAATAACAGAGGCCAACCAGAGAATATTGAGAAGCAAAGCAGCTAGTAAGCTTGATCTTTATTGATCTGTTGCAACAGGGTGCTCCCCTCACAAGCAGGAGAGGAGGAGGACCCAGAACAAAGGTGTGCAAGGCCTTATAAAGACTTTTGAAATTGCCACCCTGTAGATCAAGACCACCCCCAGAAACATCATACATACATCACAGAAGGGGTGTAACCTAAGACCACCCCTCAGATACATCACACCTACATCACAAAAAAGGCGGTCCAAATCAGAAATTTGAATGTTGCTTTTCTCCTGTCGTTGTTTTTCTCATGTCTGGCAGGTTACTTGATTGGATTGCCTGGGGAGCCTGGCCATTCTTTTGTAGTGATAAATACTTAGTTCCTGGGCCAGGTCACAGGCTCACACCCTATTCATATCTTAAATGTGCCCTTAGGACAGGATTTGTGAGGAAAGAGACAATGGGGAGGTTTCCCACTTTGACCTTGCAGAAAAAACATTTGGTCAGTTTAGGAATCAAAATGGTTCCAGGTTGGTCTTCCTGTGCTGATCTATGTATGTGCTTGGTTGGTACACTTATGAACATTACCATATATCTAAGACCATAAAATTCCTATCACAGTGCTCTGCCTTGCTCCCTCGCACTCCTGGTCCAAGTGGAAAGAGGGACCCCACACTCCGCGACACACAAACGGTTAAGCCAGCCTTAGCTTGGAGGGCATGGGGATCTTTGGGGTGGAGCAGCACAGCTCGCCCAGAACACCTGTTGAGCAGAGATATACATCCACACCTTTCTTTCCCTCCCACAGCCTCTGGCATCGTTCCACCCGTGAGGATCGAGTCTTCGTCCTCATCCCTGGCAGAGGGACAGACCTTGGAGCTCAACTGCCTTGTTGCTGGCCAGGTGCAGCCCAAAGTCACCTGGTACAAGAGAGGGGGGGCACTCCCAGCCAACCACCAGGTACGTGCGCTCCCCCTGGTCCTTTCTGTCGGGATAATTCAGACTGGAAATTCCCAGGTGTCAGAAAAGGCTGTTTATGTATGCAACAAATGTGGCCAGTGTTTTGTTAGCCCAAAAGTGAAAAACGAGCGAGGACCCAGCCAAAGAAAAATGGCAACTTAAGCTGACAGAGTATGCGCAACTTGCAGGCTTAACATCTTGAATAAGATAACAAGAACATATGTTTAAAGAACATTGGAAAACGTTTGTTGAATATATGGGAAATAATTGGGTACGACTGAAAACGCTGGCAGCATTAAGATAAATTCAACAGTGTAAAAGAGTTTTGATGGATGAAATACAGTGGGTTATAGACGCTTCAGGTTACAGACTCCGCTAACCCAGAAATAGTACCTCGGGTTAAGAACTTTGCTTCAGGATGAGAACAGAAATTGCATGATGGCGGCGCAGCGGCAGCTGGAGGCCCCATTAGTTAAGTGGTACCTCAGGTTAAGAACAGTTTCAGGTTAAGTACGGACCTCCAGAACGAATTAAGTTCGTAACCCGTGGTACCACTGTAATGGAATACTGAATGGTATAGTTTATGTAAAATATGCAGGGATTTATGTTATGCAAAGTGAAGCCTGGAAAGAGAAGAAGGGAAGTCATTGATATTTTTTAAGGATGTAAAATGAGTATTTTAAATCGTAAAACAGAAAATTTAATAAGAATTATATAAAAAGAAAAAGAAAGAAGCTAGCATTTCCCTGCATTGCAGGGGTTTGGACTTGATAACCCTTTGGGTCCCTTCCAATGCCACGATTCTGAAGTCTTCCAATTCCTGTCCCCCCCCCAGGTCTCCGGCACCCGCCTCCGCATCCCACAGGTCTCCTCCGCCAATTCCGGAGAGTACGTCTGCCGCGTCAGCAGCGCTGCTGTCACTCAGGAGGCTGCGCTGGTGGTCACCATCCAAGACGGCGAGAGCCCTTCCCATCGTGAGTCTCCTCCAGCAGAGGCTGAGACCCCCCCCCTCTCCTAGCCCTTAAATTTGTGTTGATCTAGGCAGCCTTGAGAATATTCGCTGGAGACCCTCATTGCTTTAAGGGAATGGCTCCCAAAGTGGGTGGTATCTCCCGGGGGGAGGGAATGGGATTACCTAGGGGGCAGGTGCTAAGAGGCAAGCAGGTGGGGGCGGGATCTCCAAGTGTGTCAATCACTTATGTATGATTGACCAATCCGGAACCTCAGTTGAAACGCCTTTCTTCCTTCATATTTAAAACTTCAAAAGAGGTGTGGGAAAAGGAGACAACAGGGCAGATAGATAATCAAAGCAGGGGGGCAAATATGGGAGAAACGTACATTGAAAATGTTGTCTGTAAGAATAAAAGAAAATTATTGTGAATGAGTTTAGAGATGGTGTTTAACACCAAGCAGATTAAATCAAATAAACAAGGACTATTCGGTGTTATGTTGGAGGGGATGCCAGGAATCCAAGAATTACGTTCACATGTGGTGGGGGTGTAAATATGTAAAAAAATATGTAAAAAAATGGCAAAGGGTGTTTAAGGAGATAACAGAAATCACTAGGTTAAAGCTAACCGAAAGTCCAGAGGTAGCATTATTATCCATTTACGATGGGGTGGAAGGTTCGCAGGCTAGAAAGGACTTGCTCACAAATTTATTGACAGCCACACGAAGGGGCAAGCAGAATATAAAATGGAAGAACGGTATAAAAATGTTTGTGGGATATAGCTATTGATGATAAATTAATGTGTGCCGTTAAGGTAAGATGGGGAATATGCAGGAGAAATGACTTTGAGGAGATATGGAAGGTGTTTGTAGAATTTGTACTGTTAAAACGGAAAGGGGTCAAACCATCGCAAGTGGTGTTGAAATTCTGGGAGGTTGGATAGTTACAATGGAACGGTCTTGGGGGTGGGGCGCACATTTTTATTATTTTTTATTTGTGATTATCACTTGGCCAAAATAAAATAATAATTTATTTTTTAAAAATTCGAACATTACTACACATCACATTCAAAGCTGTTTCCTTTGGCCCTTTTGCTTATGTCTACCCTTCGGAGTGGTCAGAAGATAGCCAGGTACTGGTAACAGCTGTTGATTATATGGCAAGATTTTATGGCCTCTCAGCTGTGGTCAGGGAAGGCTTGTCCATGTATGTTAAGGAGCCACATAGAAATAATTATATCCTATGAGTTTCTTTCACTATTTTGTTTTGCTTGGTAAGAACGTGCAAAAATTATTTTTCATGCAATATCTGGCATCGCAGTTAAACAGCTCTCTCGGATTAATTACATTCAATAGTTGGATTTTGAATGCATGTGCAATTAGCGTATTTTTCACTCTATAAGATGCACCAGACCATAAGACACACCTAGTTTTTGGAGGAGGAAATGAAGAAGAAAATTATTCTGAATCCCAGAAGCCAGAACAGTAAGAGGGATCTGGCTTCTGGGATAGCCATGCGAAGCCTCTTAAGGGCAGTGGGATGAAGGCTCCCCCTGCCCGGAAGAGGCTTCGCATGGCTCAGCCAGAAGCTAGAACAGCGAGAGGGATCGCTGCGCAACGATCCCTCTTGCTCTTCTGGCTTCTGGGATAGCTGCGCAGCCTGCATTCGCTCCATAAGATGCACACACATTTCCCCTTACTTTTTAGGAGGGAAAAAGTGTGCCTTATAGAGCGAAAAATATGGTAATCGCTACTTTTCCTTAGCACAGTGGTGTCCAAACTTTTTCCAAAGCGGGCCAGATTTGTTGTTGATCTTTTTTTTTAGGATAGAAGTTGTTGAGCTTTATTTAGGGTTGGAGTTGTTGAGCTTCTTTTAGGATTGAAGTTGTTGAGGGTTTTTTTTAGGATTTTACCCCAGGAAATAAACTGCCACAGGGGCCAGATTAAACTGACCGGCGGGCTGGATTAGGCCCCCGAAACGGACTTTGGGCGTGCTTGCCTTAGCAGGTCGTGCAAACCACTCTTCTGAATGATGCTTTTTAGCGGGTAGGGTAGAGGGTACAGAGGGGAGAGTTTATGGAACCAAGGGAACCAAAACCAAAAGAAAGTTTGGGAACTGTTGATCTTAGACTCCTGCTTTCTCCCCACATTCTTGCAGCTTCAGACACGGTTTCCCCTCTGAAGATTGAGTCTTCGTCACCCTCTGCTGTTGAAGGGCAGACCTTGGATCTCACCTGCACTGCCCCAGGCCAGCCCCAGGCCATATTCACATGGTACCGGCGAGAGGGACCCCTGCCAGCTGGCCACCGGGTAAGGAAACAGCCAGGCCCAGAAGGTCTCTTTGGGCAGCGGGGGGAGGGCAGTGTCCAGGTTCACGTGGGGCACAAGCACTGTGGGTAACAGGGAGCGTTGGCACCTTTCTTGGGTACGAGATGCCAGGAAGATGCTTGCAAAGAGAGAACTTGCCTTTAGCTGTGACTGCAGGAGGGTTGGACTCAATGACCTCCTCCAAATCTACGATTCCATGCAAAACAACGAAGCATGGGATGGAACAATGGAGAAAATTCTAGAACAACAATGGGATATCAGCTCTGCGAAAGGCATGAGGGAGAACAGCAACAACCAGAAAAAGATAGATACAGTGGTACCTCGGGTACCTTCAGGTTACATACGCTTCAGGTTACAGACTCCGCTAACCCAGAAATAGTGTTTCAGGTTAAGAACTTTGCTTCAGGATGAGAACAGAAATCGTGCTCTGGTGGCGCGGCAGCAGCAGGAGACCCCATTAGCTAAAGTGGTGCTTCAGGTTAAGAACAGTTTCAGGACCTTCGGAACGAATTAAGTACTTAACCTGAGGTACCACTGTATAACAATTTATAAGGATAAGAAGAAACCCAACCGATAGAATAATTGGCACACACAGGAGAGCAAGGATATAGTTTTGAGTGCCTCACTTGTAAATTTATAAATCATTTTCATTTAATGCGGCAAGATGAATAGAAGTTATTAATATTGCAGTTGTTGTATAAGGGATTGTTATTCTGACTGGAATGTAGTTGAAATTAATAAGATTTTGGAACGCTGAAATAAAGAAAACCATCAATTCTAGCACACAGGGGGCCACCTAAATGATACAATTCGGCATTTGAACGATTGGTGTTAGTAAATTGGTATTGTTATAATGAGGCTATAATTGGAATGCAATTGAAAATTAATAACAATTTTTTTTTAAATGGCGGGAGAGGAGGTAGGTCAAAGAGACACCAGGAGCCCCCTGTGATGTTCTTGTTTCATGCAGCCCTCTCTCTCTCTCTCTTGGCACACACAGGTTGTCGGTGGTCGCCTTCGCCTGGTCCAGCTCACCCCAGCCGACTCCGGCGAGTACGTCTGCCGTGCGAGTGGTGGAGCTGTCCCGCAAGAGTCTTCCTTGGTGGTCTCTGTCCTAGCCAGCGCCAGCGCTGCCTCCCGTACGTCTAAGGTTCTGGGCTGGATGGGGGGCGGATAGGAGAGATGGGCGGTGTCTTCAGAGGGTCAGCCTTACCCTCGCTCCATCCCTGCAGGCCTCCAGAGTCCGGTCATCTCCATCGACCCCCACAGCACCGCTGTGCGCAAGGGAGCGGACATCTCCTTCAAGTGCCGGCTCCACGATGGCGCTCAGCCCGTCGAGATCTCTTGGAAGCTGCCCAACAACCAGCTGCCAGGTAGGCGGGCTCGCGATGGCCACCTGGACCTAGCGTCAGGTTGTAAGAAAGGAAGGAAGTGAAGGGCTGCGGGAAGCTCCTGTCAGCTCAGCTGACAGGCCAGCAACTTTTGGAACGGGTCAGTAGAGCAGCTTGCAGTCACTAAGAACTTGAACCTGAGCTTGCTTATTTCCTCCTCCCTCCTGGTGCATTTTCCTTTTGCGCAACACACACGTACATCCCCATGATCTCCCGACTTGAACCTCCTTTTTCTTTTTTTGTAAAATTTATTTATTTGGCTTTTCAAATTAAGATTTTACAATCGTATAGCAACATACAGTATAAAAACAAGATTCCACAGAATCTCCTGGACTTCCCTCCTCCCCTTTGTGAGGTCTTTTATTAGTCCTTTCCTCCTGCATCTTTTATAATAATCCAAATCTTTTGCATCTCCATTATTCCCAAAATTCACCATTAAACTACAAGTGTTATTCCAATCCCACTAACGCTTTTAGCTGTTTACAATGGCTTTTCAGATAGATTATAAGTTTTCCCCCATTCCTTATGAGAATTTTGGTCTTCCTGATATCTGATTCTTCCTGTCATTTTTTCCATTTTTGCATAATCTGCCATTCTTCTCTGGTAGAGACTTTATCTTCTTTCCATCTCTTGGCTAATAGATATGGCTGCTGGGGTCACATACATAAATAGTCTTTTCTGCTCCTTTGGGATTTTGGCACCTAGAATTCTCAATTGATATATAAATGAATAACTAAAAAGGGACAGGCCTGGACAGAGCTCTCTCTCCCACTTCCCCGCTACAGATAACGTGAAGATCAGCCCCAACGGGTCTGTGGTCACCATCTCCAACGCCCAGCCCCAGAACCAGGGGACTTACCGCTGCCTCGCCTCCAACCGATTTGGGATAGCCAACAGTGTGGTCAACCTGATGGTGCATGGTAAGTGGGCATTGTGAAGCGGAGAAAACACTTTGGTTCCTGGAAAATAACAGGGTACTATTATAATGACTTGATTAGTAGTGTCGCCTTAAGCCCGAAGGTGGTGACTTACACAGCACACAGAGCTACAATAGTTATAGCTAAAAGTGTTCACACTATAAGGTAAAGGTAAAGGGACCCCTGACCATTAGGTCCAGTCGTGACCGACTCTGCTGGGGTTGCGGCGCTCATCTCACTTTATTGGCCGAGGGAGCCGGCGTACAGCTTCCGGGTCATGTGGCCAGCAGGACTAAACCGCTTCTGGCGAACCAGAGCAGTGCATGGAAACGCCGTTTACCTTCCTGCCGGAGCGACATCTATTTACCGTATTTTTCGCACGATTGGACGCACCGGACCATAGGACGCACCTAGTTTTCAGGGGGGGAAATCAAGGAAAAAATATGATTCCCCCCCCCCAGCTCTGGGAGCAGTGGACAGGCTGCACGCAGCCTGTGCGCTACTCCAAGACCTTCTCCCTGCTTTTGCGGGAGGTGGCGGAATTCCCCCATCTCCCGCAAAAGCCCGCAGGAGGGAGAAGGGACTGACTCAGCCAGTCAGTCAGTCCCTTCTCCCTCCTTGGGGAAAAGCCCCCAAGAGCTGCACGTTCTTTAAAGGCTGCGCGACTCTTGCAGGCTTTTCTGCGAGGTGGGGGAATCCCCCCACCTCCTAGAAAAGCCAGCAAAGCCGCGCAGCCCCTTTAAAGAGCGCACGGCTTTTGCCTGCTTTTGCGGGAGGTGGGGGAATTCCCCCATCTCCCGCAAAAGCGCGCAGGAGGGAGAAGGGACTGACTCAGCCAGTCAGTCCCTTCTCCCTCCTTGGGGAAAAGCCCCCAAGAGCCGCTCGCTCTTTAAAGGGTGCGCGGCTCCTGCGGGCTTTTGCGGGAGATGGGGGAATTCCCCCACCTCCTAGAAAAGCCAGCAGAAGCCACGGAGCCTCTTTAAAGAGCGCGCGGCTTTTGCCTGCTTTTGCGGGAGGTTGGGGAATTCCCCCATCTCCCGCAAAAGCCCACAGGAGGGTTGGAGAGTAGCGGGAAGGCGTCGCGTGCCTTCCTGCTGCCCCCCATCCTCTGGGGCTGGCGATGGGGGAAGCGCTGCTTTTCCCCCGTCAGCCTCAAAGAGCAGACTCTCCTGGCTTCAGCGGAAGCAACGGGAAGCCTCCGGAGCGCAGGCTTCGGAGGCTTTGCCTTGCTATCGCTGAAGCCAGGGAGCCTGCATTCGCTCCATAGGACGCACACACATTTCCCCTTAGTTTTTAAGACGGAAAAACTGCGTCCTATGTTGTGAAAAATACGGTATCTACTTGCACTTTGACGTGCTTTCGAACTGCTAGGTTGGCAGTTAATGGATTCTCTTGAAAACATAAAACCAAATAAACATAAGTCTTATAAGTCTCTGAAAGTCTTTGAAGACTATGCGAGTCTCTGAAAGAAGCAATGGGTCAGATTCTTATCTGGTGAAAACAGGCTGTAAAGCTTTGTTTATGGCGTCCAACGCTGCCGAAGTAGTTTGCAAACAGACGTTGTGAACAGTGATTCCGGATATTCCCACTGTTTTGTGGAATTCTTCTTCAGCACAGCAGAAGGATACAGAAATGCTTCATAAACCCATTCACCATATAGATGGGGTACGTACCTTGTGTTTTATTTCACATTATTTTGGCATTATAGTTTATGTGCATAGTTCATAATATTTCGAGTTTATTGTAGTTACCATGCATATACAGGTCATTGTTTTAATATTCGTTTATAGTTTATGAAGCATTTCTGTCATTTGGTTTTATGTTTTCAAGAGAATCCATTAAGAGTGCATATTTGGTGACTTTCAGAGATTCATAAGTTTTCTGTTTATGTGATTTCATATATTTCATATTATATAAAGAGTGTCTATTGGTATCGTATCATTGTATTTGGTCATCGTGTTGCCTTGGATATTACTGATCAGCTCTTACTGTCAGAAAGTTCTTCCTGATATTTCGTCGGAATCTCCTTTCTCATAACTTGAAGCCTTTGGTTCGAGTCCTAGCCTCCAGAGCAGGAGGAAGCAGCCTGGCTCCCCCAAAACAGCCTGCCTTCTTAGCCTGACCTCTGGGAGATATTAGATTTAGAAGCAGGAGCGCCTCCTTGGAAAGAACGATGCCGTTCCTGGGTGTCCAACTGGCATGGATGCCAGTGGAGGCATTGCACACAGCTAGATGGAAGCCACTCCGTCTGCTCTGCTGTGGGGCAGCTGCTCAAGGCTCTCCTCTCCCCACCCGCAGGGCCGCCGACCGTCTCAGTGGTGCCAAAGGGCCCCGTGCAATTGAAGGTGGGCAAATCCATCAGCCTGGACTGCTTGGGGGCGGGTGAGCCCCGGGCCCTGGTGCGCTGGAGCAAGGTGGGCGTCCGGCAGAAGGTGGAACACCAGACCGTGATGCCGCTGGACAGCCGGGCTGTGCTGCAGGTGAGTCGCAGGTGACACATTGTCCGCAGAGCAAGGGAGCAGGAGGAGGGGCCTAGTATATATGCACTGGGGATATATGTGGAGCCTCCGGGATCAGGAGCAATGTACCTTAGAGTATCGGTTTCTGGGGGCTGGGAGCAAGCAGTGGGGAGGGTTCTGTTGCTGGCGGGCTTCCCAGAGACATCTTGGTGGACCAGATGAGATGGCGATGGCCGCTAGCCACAATGGCTGTGCTCTGTGTCCACAGCTAGCAATGCTTCTGAATCCTGGTTGCTAGAAACTGCAGGAGGAGAGTTGTTCTTGTGCTCGAATCCTGCTTGCGGGCATCTGCTTGGCCACTGTGAGAACAGGGGGCTGGGCAAAATGGGCCCTTGGCCGGATCCAGCAGGTCTCTTACGTTCTTACGGGCCAAAAAAGGGGCTTGTTTTGGGTCCAAAGGCAGCCGTGGCCCCATTCCTCGATTTGAAACACCCCCCCATACTGTTTCCACTCCAGATCTCATCCGCGAAGCTTGAAGATGCTGGCACTTATGTCTGCATGGCGCAGAACCCCCTGGGGACGGCGGAAGCGCAGGTGGAATTGCTTGTGGAGGCCGTGCATGGGAGACCGGGCGCACCTGAGATTCATGCGAACCCGACGCAGACCGTAGTTGCCGGGCAGACGGCTCGGCTCCATTGTTCTGCCACAGGTGGGTGGGGGGCCTTTTCCAGCCCAAGGTCCCTTGGAGGAATCTCTCCCCCCACCTTGGGGAGGGGAAGGAGCCTTCGTATTCCAATAATGGCCGTGGTCAGAGACAACCAGTGGCCAGAGCAGCTGGTGGGACTCTGAGCCTTCGCACAGTCAGTGGGCTTATTTCCTTTTAATTAAATGAGATTTGCATGCCGCTTAACTTTGAATGCAGCCTCTGAGCAGTTTGCGAGGGACGCAGAGTAGCGCACAGAAACATTTGGTAAATAAATCAGCCTTAGGAACAAGTGTATGTGGCAAGGAGACACAGAAGAGTCTTAATAATAATAATAATAAATTTTTATTTATATCCCGCCCTCCCCAGCCGAAGCTGGGCTCAGGGCGGCTAACAACAATCAAAATAATCCAACACTCTAAAAACATTCATTATAAAGTTAATTAAAATCAAATTAATGGCAACCATTAAGCAAAATTCTGTGCAGATTGCCAGAGGAGGGGGTCAGGCTGCGCCCTGACCAAAGGCCTGGTGGAACAGCTCTGTCTTGCAGGCCCTGCGGAAAGATGTCAGGTCCTGCAGGGCCCTAGTCTCTTGTGATAAGTAAAGGATTGGGATAATTAAAGGATTGGGATTGGACTTTGTAACTTTAGACGAAACAAAAGAGAGAGGGGTTGTATTATATATAAAAGCCAAATTTGACCCAAAGCAGTTATTTAAGGACAGGGGAAGAATAATTGTAGTACAGATAACAGTACAAGGTAAGAAAATAATAATAGATGGAATATATGCACCAAATGAGAGAAAATTGGAATTTTATAAAATGTTAAAAGAAAAACTATTTGAATACATGGGCTAGAAGATAATACTAATGGGAGATATAAATAGGGTAGTCTCTCTAGATAGGAATAGGACTATAAGAAAAACTGACTCAAAGGAAGGGAGACTACCCGCAACTTTCTTCACAATGTTAAAAATGTTAACCTGATTGATATACAGTGGTACCTTGGTTTATGAACTTAATCCGTTCCAGAAGTCTGTGCTTAAACCAAAGTGTTCTTAAACCAAGGCATGCTTTCCCGTAGCAGTGGGGAACTCAATTTACAAATGGAACACACTCAACAGGAAGCAAAACATGTTCTTATTCCAAGGCAAAGTTCACAAACCAAAACACCTACTTCCAGGTTTGCAGCGTTCTTAATCCAAGTTGTTCATAAACTAAACTGTTCTTAAACCAAGGTACCACTGTATGGAGATTTAAACATCCACTGGACAGAAAATTCACGTTCTTCTCTGAACCACATCAGTCCAGTGGAAAAAATAACTCGAGATGGACGTCTGGAGAATTATCAGTATATGTCAAAAAAGTAGACATATTACCAAGGACACTTTCGGATCATAACCCAGTATTACTTGAACAAAGAGGAGAAAAAAGCACTCCATTTAGATGGAGAATAAATGAAGGCATTTTAGATAATCAAATTATTTTTCAAAAATCAGAAAAAGCCCTGTTATAATTTTATACTCGTAAAATCAAATAAAGCTGTCTGTGGACAAACGCCAGCTCCCTTTGGCCTGAAAGGCGAGATGAGTGCCGCAATCCCATAGTCGCCTTTGACTGGGCTTAACAATCCAGAAATCCTTTACCTTTTTTTTTAACCTTTACACACTGCCTACTGCTAGCCACATTCAGCATTTCAGGGCCAAGGCAAGGCAAATTTCCTCGTTCTGGGTTTTTTCTCCTGTTCATGGAAGCATAGAATTGCATAGAGTTGGAAGGGACCCAAAGGTGATCTCGTCCGACGTCTTGCAGTGCAGGAATCGCAGCTGACCCTAACTCGCAGCTAACCATTGCTCTCTCCATCCCAGGCGACCCCTCTCCGACCATCCACTGGTCCAAGCTGAGGGCCCCCTTGCCCTGGCAGCATCAGATCGTGAACGGCACCCTCATCATCCCCCGGGCAGCCCAGCAGGACTCCGGGCAATACATCTGCAACGCCACCAACACCGCCGGCTTCACAGAGGCCTTCATCATGCTGGATGTGGAAGGTGAGGGAAGGAGCGGGCAAAGTTAGGGCATCGTCCTAAGGAACTGGCCCTATTCTGAGCGCTGCATAATGCTCATCCCACATGGGTGAGAAGCCATTCTTGTAGCGTGGCAGCAGCACCCGAACTCTGGAACTCCCTGCCTGCTGACATCAGGCGGACACCTTCGCAGTACTCCTTTTGGTGCCAGCTAAAAACACTTACGTTTAGGAAATTGCCTCTATGGATAAGTAGAACACTGCAGATATTTTCATCTGGTTTTTAAGCTTACCACTGATTTTCATCCTTTTGTGTGTGTGTTCTTTTAAAAATGTTTTAAACTGTATATAACTGATAATTTGATTGTTTTATCCTTTTTTATTTTTAAAAAGTATATAAATTAATTAATAACCCCCCCAAAAAAGAAAAGAATCCTGGGAACCTGGGGGTGATTTTTTTTTGAAGGGGTGCAGAGAATTGTAACTCTGTGGAGGTGAGGATAAACTACTGCTCCCAGGCTTCTTCGCAGGGGTCGATGTGCTTTACAGGTGGGGTTGTTTTGTCAAAGGCGACCCATTTGAATTAATAAACCCAAATTTACCATTATTCATGTTTATTAACTTCAGTGGTTCTCCTGTTGAGTAGAACGGGCATTACTATTATTAGTAATATTTTAATAGTTGTTTATACCCGTTTTTAACTGACATTTTCATTTTTCATGGTGTCATTCTTTTATAAAGCGCTTTGAGGTTTTCTTCTTGCAATCAAGCTGCGGCATATGAACTTTATGAAATGCAGCGCATAGTTAACCTGTTTCTCCAAAGCCTAACGAAACCTCTTCGATCAAGCAATATATAAATTATATGAAATAAAAATAAAGTTAGTGCTGGAGCCTGTCTGCGGAGAGGCGCCTGGAAACAATACCCTAAAAAAGAGCAGGGGGCTGTTTAACCCAGAGAACTTTCTGCTCTTCTCTCCCCCTTCCCAGCGCCACCGTACGCCACCACCCTTCCGGACTCGGTGTCGGTGCAGGCGGGCGAAGTGGTGCAGCTGCAGTGCCTGGCTCACGGCACGCCCCCTCTGCGCTATGAGTGGACCAAGGCCAACAGCAGCCTCCCCGGGCACGCCACGGTGCGCGAGAGCGTCCTCCACATCAGCCCGGCCGCCCCCCACGATTCGGGCGCCTACCTCTGCCGCGTGAGCAACCGGGTGGGGTCAGCCGAGGCCGTCGCCCACGTCCGAGTGCAAGGTGAGGACACGGGGAAGGTTCAGCGGTGGTGAAGCTAGGAGAGAAAGGGTGGAGGCTGTGGACAAGGTGTTTGTCCTTTTTCACTCCGATCCGCGTAGGGCAGATCCGCGCCATACATTCAACACACACTCAAATCCACATGGATGGTCCCAGAGAATCCTGGGAGCTGTAGTTTTTTAAGGGTGCCACAAATAACTGTTTTGTGGTGGGTGGGTGGGGGGGAATCCCCATGGCTCCCAAGAGCCCTCTGCACTTGTGTAATGGCACTTCCCCAAATAAGTGCCGTGCAAGTACTGTTGTGATGAAAACACTTGGAAGCTTGCTATCAAGCCCAAAACGCAGGACCGCAATACCTCAAGGACCGCCTCTTTCCATTTGAACCCACCTGGACCCTGAGATCATCTTCTGAGGCCCTCCTTCGTGTGCCTCCTCCTTAAGAGGTCCGGAGGGTGGCAACACGAGAACGGGGCCTTCTCTGCAGTGGCTCACCGTCTGTGGAATGCTCTCCCCAGGGAAGTTCACCAGGCACCTTCATTACACACCTTTAGGGACCAGGCAAAAATATTCCTTTTTAACCAGGCCTTTTATTGATCTGATTGACATCCTATACCCTTTTAAAATGTGGCTGATGAGAGAAGCTGATTCCAGACTTGTGGGGCCACCATGGACAAGGCCCCTCTCTAGGCCCCTCTCGGTGTCTCTGGCAAGAGTCGGGAGCTTCAATCTGTCTTCTTCTTCTCCCCACACAGGTGCAGCTGGAGGACCTCTTTCCATCCAGGTCACTCCACGGAGAGACACGAAGGCTGTGGGGGGCACAGCAGAGTTTGCGTGTTCTGTTGTTTCCGGAGACCCCCGAACACGGCTGGAGTGGTCCAAGGAGGATGGGGAGCTGCCTCCTCAGCACACCATCCGCAACGGCGTGCTTCGGTAAGGAGAGCAGATGGTACTGAGCCCAATGGACCAACGGTCCAATTCTGTACGAGGCAGAGTGCATCTGGGGGATGCCGTGGGAAGGATGGAGGGTGAAACAGGACCGAGGGGTGTTCCACTGTTGATGGACAGCTGAGCTAGACCAGAGTCCTTTTGGGAATTATAGGGACAGAACTACCCAAACTGTACAGAAACTTATTCGTGTATGCTACTGCAGCGGCAAGAACGTTACTTGCCCCAAAATGGAAAGAAGCAGAAGTCCCAGCAAAGGAAGAATGGATACAAAAAACAGGGAGTTGCTATAAAACTATGGACATTGGGATGCAGAAAGGGGGGGGGTATGGGGGAGTCTGAGAAAAGAGGGTTATGAGAAACAATATGAAATTATGCGTGTTTGTATGTTTTTTTTGTTTTTGTTTTTAAAGTGTTTGTTTATTTTTAAAATTTTGTAAAACCAATAAAAAATTTTATTAAAAAAAAACAAAAAACTTACGCAATATGCAGAAATGGCAAAACCTTTTTTAAAATAATATTTTTATTGGTTTTACAAAATAAATCACACACTTATCACAATGAAATTTTGAAATAGAACAAGATTATTCCAAATCTTAGGACTTCCCTTCTCCGTGGGTCCTTTAAATATCTTAATCAGCTTCATATTATATTTCATCCGAATTATAGTCCTGCAATATATCCAGAGTCTTTGTAACATTTCAGGAGTTACTCAAAGCCTGCCAAAGAGTTCAAGTGTTACAGTGTTCTTTCAAATACATTTAATATTTAACCCATTCTCTGTTGAAGTTTTGGTCCTCCTGATTCCCGATTCCCCCCCCCCCAAAGTCAATCTAAACTTACCAGAAAAATAAGAAATCAAGACAACAAACTTTTTATAAAAGAATGGAAATGGTTTCTTGAATATTTACAGATAAATTGTAAACAGATGAGAAAATTGGCAGGATTATTGTAATAACCTGCAGTTTTTTATAAGATTATATATTTAAGGAAGATGAATAAATGAACAGATTAAGTTAATTTGGATATGCAGGAGATATAAAAAATAAATTTAAGGAACCGCAGAGAGAGGGGGAAGGAAGTCAAGTTTTGAAATATCAAAATGGTTGTAAAATTAGTGAAGTGTATAAATCTGAAATGCATGAATGGAATTTTTAAAAAGAGCTAGACCAGAGTCTAGTGACTCTCGCTGCTTCCCTGCAGAATTGAGAAGCTGGATCGGGGGTGCCAAGGTGTCTACGTTTGCCGAGCCACCAGCTACTCTGAGGAGGTTGAGGACAGGGCCATGCTGACCGTGCAGGGTAAGTCGGAGTGGGCAGCCACCAACTGAAAGGCCTTTGCTCTCTACTACTCTCTTGGAGGAAGTGGCTCCCTTGAGTGCAGTCAATCTCCCCCTAACCCCACATGCAAAGGTGGGGGGGGCAGCAGTCAGCCACTAAGCCGCAGAAAAATCCCAGTATCCCAGTTACTAGACTGCTGTTGTGCATTTTAAATACAGTCGTACCTTTGATCCTGAATGCCTTGCAACTCGAACGTTTTGCCTCCCAAATGCCGCAAACCCGGAAGTGAGTGTTCCGGTTTGTGAACATTCTTTGGAACCTGAACATCCAATATGGCTTCTGATTGGCTGCAGTAGCTTCCTGCAGCCAATCAGAAGCTGCACTTTGGTTTCCAAACGTTTTGGACGTCAAATGGACTTCCGGAAGTGATTCCGTTCAACTTTCAAGGTACCACTGTACATGCTGGAAGAGCAACAGTGGTTAAGCTGGAGAAAAGGGCGTGGGGGCGACTCTTCCCCCTCCAGCTCTCCATCAGAGAGAAGCTGGTCTGCCATAGAATGCATTCCCCAGTCCTCGTCTTCAGACCATTCCCTGACATCAGGGCATATTCCAGCTTATCTCCAAAGAAGGGGAAGGGAAGAGTCCATCCCCACAGTTGCCATCCTGGTGTGGAACTGAAGCATTAATTCCCTGCGCTGCATAGCGGGGGGGGGGGTCCTTATAATCACAGATTCATAGAATTGTGAAGTTGGAAGGGACCCCGAGAGTCATTTGGTTCCACCACCTTGCAATGCAGGAATCAGGACCACCTCCTGCTGTGAGAGAATGCTTTCATCCCCACGGGTGCCAGTCTATTGCCTAATAATAATAATAATAATAATAATAATAATAATAATTTGTTATATATACCCTACCCATCTGGCTGGGTTTCCCCAGCCACTCTGGGCGGCTCCCAACAGAATATTAAAAACACAATAAAATATCAAACATTAAAAACTTATTTATGCAGCTATTGTAATTTAGATATTATATTATATTTTATGCAAGGGAATCATTGGGAATTTCGGTTATTATGTATATATGTTAAGTTTCAATAAAGATCTTGGGGGGGGGGAACTTCCCTAAACAGGGCTGCCTTCAGATGTCTTCTAAAGGTTGTATAGTTGTTTATTTCCTTGGCATCTGATGGGAGGGCATTCCACAGGATGGGCGCCACCACCGAGAAGGCCCTCTGCCTGGTTCCCTGTAACCTCACTTCTCACAGGGAGGGTACCGCCAGAAGGCCTTCGGAGCTGGACCTCCGTGTCCGGGCTGGACGATGGGGGTGGAGACGCTCCTTCAGGTATACTGGGCCGAGACCTTGAGGATCCGCTGACCTCTCCCTGTCTGCCCCCCTCTCCTCAGCACTGCCCAAGGTGATGATCAACATCCGGACGTCGGTGCAGACCGTGCTGGTGGGCAACGCCGTGGAATTTGAGTGCCTGGCCTTTGGGGACCCAAAGCCCCAGGTCACGTGGAGCAAGGTGGGCGGGCGGCTGCGCCCAGGGGTGCTGGCAAGTGGCAGCATGGTGAAGATTGAGCGCGTGGAGCAGGCGGACGCCGGGCAGTACCGCTGCACGGCCACCAACGACGTCGGCACAGTCCAGTCCCACGTCATCCTCCATGTCCAATGTAAGCACCAGCAGGGCGAATGCGCCCCTCGTTTCTCTCTCCTCCCTCCAGGTTAGCAAACCTGCTTCTTCTCTCTCCTACAGCTGTGCCCCAGATTGCTGCAGCCCAGCCAGAAGTGAAAGAGGTCTCCGCTGGGTCTAAGGTGGTCTTCCCTTGCTCGGCTTCCGGTTTCCCTGTGCCAGATATCACCTGGACCAAGGTAACTCTCCAGAGGGGCAGGGAGCCCTTCTGTGGGCTTTGCCCACCAAGAAGGGCCCGGCGGCTGACGACATGTGACGCCGTTGTCTATTTTATTTGTTGCATTTATTTCCCGCCATTTCTCCTCCAAGGAGCTCGAAGGTGGCACGCATGGTTCCCTCCCCCCCCTTTATTCTCAAAACAAGTTTGGTTAAGGCTGCAAGGCAGTGACTGGCCCCCAAGGTCTCCCAGTTGTGTTTTGTGGCCGAGGGGAGGATTTGAACCCTGATCTTTTCCCGTCCTAGTCCCCCGACAACCCTGTGAGGTAGGTTAGGCTAAAAGAAGGTTGAAACCAAGTGAGAGTCATGGCTGAGGGGGGGATATGGACCCTAGTCTCCCAGGTCCTAGTTCAGAAATAACCACTACACCACACTATCTCCATGTGCTTTCTGTAGTAACTGGTGATCTTTTTTTTCAAAAAAGTCTTGTGTAGCTTAGTATCGGTTTGATCATATAATGCTAATCCTGGCACAACTACACTGGCTGCCAATTAATTTCCGGGCCCCAATTCAAAGTGCTGGTTTTTGCCTATATACCCTTCACAGCTCAGGACCTCAATACCTCAAGGTACCTCTTTTTAGTTCTTTGTATGTTTATAAGCAAAATGAGATAAATAATGATAAGGCAGACAAGGGAAAAGGCAGAGAGTCTCCCGGGTTTGTGGGGAAGAGCGAGAACAGCCTCTGGGGAGAGCAGCAAGATGGCGCACACGGCAAAGGAAGGATGAACTGAGAAGGCTCAGTTGCTGGGCTGCCTTGCAAGGCCGGCTGTGCCCTGCGGGAAGAGCCTGCTGAGGGTTTGGGGGGCCGCTTCTGTGTTCCAGCTGGAAGGAGACCTCCCCAAGGAGGTCCGTGTGGAGAGCAACGTCCTGACCATCCCGTCCGCTCGCCCCGAGGACACCGGCATTTACGTCTGCACGGCATCGAACCGGCAAGGGAAGGTGACGGCTTTCTCCATGCTCAAAGTGCACGGTGAGTTCAGCAGGCCGGTCTCTTCTCCCTCCGAAATCAGTTTCTCTGCCGCCGCCGCCCAAACCATGGGAGGAATATTCAGAAAGGGGACAGGCAGTTGCTGATCTCCAGAGTTTGACCTGGAGAAATCTCCCTCTGGGGCTCTCCAGTTGTGAGAGGGGAATCTCCTCTCTTTCCCCTTCCCCTTCTGGTTGTGGGGACTGTGCCTTGAATAGCCACAGCTGGGGTGGAACCGGGCAGTGGTATTTTTCTAGAAAAAGAGGTGTCGGAGCTCACCATGAAAGACTCTCTTATCATGACAACGGTGCCCATCTGAAAGGCATCAGAACATACTTCTGGTGAGTTCCAGGTGCAAAAAAAGAGCCTTGCCTGGGCTGTTGCTTCCTGCCTCCTAGCCTGGTGGCGGCTGCTGGTTCGAATCCTGCTGGGACTTCTGCGCAGGGGGGAAAGGGTCCCTGCTCAGCTGCATGCAGAAAGCCCCAGGTTCAACACTTGAACACCTCCAGTTTAAAGGAGCATGGGTATCTGGGCAGGGGGGAAGCACCCCAGAAGGCTGCTGCCAGTCAGAGAAGGCAGCATTGGGCAATATTGGGCAATACTGGGCAATGATGCAACCTGGCATGGTGGCAGTAGTGGGATTCCCTGTGGCTAAAGTGGACCAAATAGGTAGCCGGCAATTCCTCAAATTGAAAGGATAAGGGAGCTGGGAAATTGCGGCAGCTGCCCAGTCCTCTGACCCCCTGCCCTTCCTCTGCTTGTAGAGCGGGTGGTGCCATATTTCACCCAGAATCCTCAGTCCTTCCTTGTCCTGCCGACCATGAAAGACGCCTACAAAACATTCGCGATCGAGATCACCTTCCGACCGGACACACCTGACGGTAAGCGCAGGTGCTGGGGCAGGTGGGGAGGCCCTTGGGGGCAGGACTGCTGTGTGTCGTCCCCCCTCAAATGTAGGCACTCCAGAGCTTCCCCACAAGTACAGTATACAATAGGGCTGCCATATTGGGATTTCAGAGGCGAAATTGACATCCGGGAGGGATTTCCGAAATGCAGCGTTTTGTCCTGGATCAATCGAAAAGTGGCGTTTTTTGAAACAATTTTGGGGTGCCCTGGTTTTTACTTTTTGAAATATGGCTATCCTAGTATATGAGCTCCTTGGTCCTTTTTTGGGTACAACCAGCCACCTTTCTCCTTGCTGGCAGAGGCCCGAGCGCTCTCTTTGCTGGGAATCTCTCTCTCTCAACACTCTCGTTTTCCCTCTTGCCTTTCCTCCCAACTCGTCTTACCTTTCTCTCCATCTCTCTTCCTCTCTCTCTCCTCTACACCTCTTCCTCCCCCTTCGTCTCTACTCCCTCCTTTCCCCTACCTCTCCAGCTCTCATGCTTTACTCAGGTAAGTCTCGTTTCTGCTGGGCTGCCGCTTCCTTTTTAGCCAGTCCTAGACGCCTCCCTTAACCCTTGCGGTGATGGAGCCTCGTGCCCGCGTGTGTGTTGTGAAAAGTGTGCCCCTTGGCAAACTAACTATTCCACTGGTGGAGCTGTGTCTTCACTCAGGAGCCCTCCCGGTCCCTGTCCACCTGCTCACCGATCCGCCTAACGCCTTGCCAGCCAGGCTGCTTCTTTTGAGGCCCTGCCTAACCCCAGTTCCTTGCCCAGGCAGGTGGGACATTCTCCCTTCCTTACCAGGAAGCGGAACTGTGTTGCATCCCAGGGACAGGAAGCCCAGGTGGATCTTGGCCTCCTCTTGTTGCGCCGTGGGGGCCGCCTGCCGTGCTGCGGGTTTGGGTGCCAAAGGGAGCTGGTGGGCGCCAGCTTTTGTGGCTTGTCCACAAATAGGCCACTTGCGTGGGTGGCAATGGAGGGCTCTGAGCACTGCATGGAACTGGGGACCTCGGCCAGGCTGCCTTTCCCAGGCGTCGGAGGATGGCTTGGCTGCAAGGAGCTCCCTGGTGCTGAAGCTGTGAGCTGAGCAAACCCATGCCCCACGGAGACCGCTCACCTTCCTTTGTGCTTTTGGCAGGGATGCTGGTATACAATGGGCAGAAGAAGAACACAGGCACGGACTTCGTGTCCTTTGGATTGGTTGGGGGCCGGCCGGAGCTCAGGTGAGAGGCTGTGGGTCCTTATCTCAGCACCCTCTTTCTGGCTGGGTGTCAGTTCTAGCCTCAACCCAGAGCTGTGAGACGTGGGCCTCCAAATTGGCCTGCGCCAAAATGGTCCAGCTTGCCGCTTGCCGAAGGGGTCTTGCAAGGCATGCCAGGGCCTAATGGAGTGGGCGGGAGCCGAGGCAGTTTTGACCCTCCTGATCTGTCTTGGCATTGCAGGTTTGACGCTGGCTCTGGCATGGCCACCATCCGGCACCCTTCCATCATCAAGCTGGGCGAATTCCACACCATCCGGCTGTACCGCAACCTCACCCAGGGCTCTCTCGTTTTGGACAACCACCCTCCCGTCAACGGCACGTCCCAGGTGAGTGGCAGGCTCCAGGTGGAGAGGGTAGGGGCTGCTTCTCCCACCTGTGGGAAATCTCTCTGGCATGTGGCTGCTGAAAGGGGCAGCGTTCTAAGCCAGGGCAGGCGCTCATGCTGCTGGGCGCCTTCACCCCATCTGTGGGTCTGAGCTCTGCATTCTGTACTTGCCAGTGGCTACTGAACCAGGCCCAAAGGCGTTGGGTACTGGGAGCAGGATGGCAAGCAGGGCCAAGATGGAGCAGCGCCCTGCAAACTGGTGTTTCCTGTTGGAGACCCACTTTTGCTAGGTTTACATTTCTGTGTTATGGACTGGATGAGAGCCAACAAACTGAAGCTCAATCCAGATAAGACAGAGGCACTGTTAGTGGGTGGTTCTCTAGACCAAATAGATGGGAGGTTGCCTGCTCTTGATGGGGTTGCACTTCCTCTGAAGGAGCAGGTTCACAGCTTGGGGATACTCCTAGATCCTTTGCTGTTGCTCGAGGCTCAGGTGGCCTCAGTGACACAGAGTGCCTTCCATCAGCTTCAGCTGGTGGCCCAGCTATGCCTAACTACTATTGTCTATGTTCTGGTAAACTCAAGGTTAGATTAGTGCAATGCGTTATAGGTAGGGCTGCTTCTGAAGATGGTTCGGAAAATTCAGCTAGTGCAGAATTCAGTGGCCAGGTTGCTCACCAGAGCAAGATGGTTTGAGCATATTTACACCGATCCTGGTCCGACTGCACTGGCTACCAATTAGTTTCCTGGCCCAATTCAAAGTGCTGGTTCTGACCTATAAAGCCTTAAACAGCTCAGGACCACAATACCTCAAGGACCGCCTCTTCCCATATGAACCTACCCGGATCCTGAGGTCATCTTCTGAGGCCCTCCTTCATGTGCCTCCTCCTTGAGAGGTCCGGATGGTGGCAACACGAGAACAGGGCCTTCTTTGCAATGGCTCCCCGTCTGTGGAATGCTCTCCCCAGGGAAGTTCGCCTGGCGCCTTCATTACACACCTTTCGGTGCCAGGCAAAAACGTTCCTTTTTTAACCAGGCCTTTGGTTGATCTGATTTACATCCTATGCCCTTTTAAAATGTGGCACTTTTCGGGTCGGGGGGCTATTGAGTTGTTATTTTTATTTTTATTATGTATTTTGTGGTTTTATATCTTGATTTTATTCTGTGAACTGCCCTGAGACCCCTGGATATAGGGTGGAATAATAATAATAATAATAATAATAATAATAATAATAATAATAATAATAATAATAATAATAATAATAATAATATAACAACAACAACAACAACAACAACAACAACAACAACAATAATAATAATATTTCTTCCCCAGGGCAAATTCCAAGGTCTGGACCTCAACGAGGGCTGTACCTTGGCGGGTATCCCAACTATGCTGCTACTGCAAAGACAGGCCTGACCAGCGGTTTCATTGGTGAGAGCTACACAGAGTCATAGAATTGTAAGGTTGGAAGTGAGTCCCTCAAGGGGCATCTAGTGCAGCCCCCCTAAGGTGCATGAATCACAGCTGAAGGGTCCCTGACAAAGTTTCATCCAGCCTCTGGCTGAAAACCTCCAATGAAGGAGAGACCACCACCTTCTGAGGACAAAGCGGCCAGTATATACACGGGGGTTTCTGTGATCTGTGGCAGGTGGCCGGGCTGGGTTTTGAGTGCGCCCATAGGCGCCAACTCCATGGGGCCTGAGGGGGCCCGAGCCCCCTCAAAAATTTTATTGGGGGGGCTCTGCCCCCCCAATAATTAAAAAAATTATCGCGCGCCTTGGCTCCCTCGTCGCGCGCCTTGGCTCCCGTGCTGCGCCTATTAATCAGCTCCAAAGGAAATTGGGTGGAGCTTTTGCTCGGGAGGGAGGGCAGGAGGCATGCAGCCCGCCCCTCCCTGTGCATTTTGGGCTGGGGGAGGGGCAGCGATGGCGCTCTGCTGGAGGGGCGCCGGAGATTATTGGGGGGCAGAGCCCCCCCAAACGAATTTTTGAGGGGGCTTGGGCCCCCTCAAGCCCCATGGAGTCGGCGCCTATGTGCGTGGCCCTCGGGTCCCTTCAAACTCCTGGGCGTTTTGCTGGTGGGGGGCTGTGTGGGGGCCTGGGCGATCTCGGAAGAGGAAGCTTGCAGGCCTGGTTGTATGTTGGGGGCAGCAGGAAGAGGCGGAGGGCAGGATGTGCAGCCCCTGCCTGGCTTTCCTGTGGGACCAAGGAAGCGGCTGGGGGGGGGGACTTGGCCGCTGGCCTTTGTTGCGGAGGCGGCAGTGTGGGAACGCCAGTCCCAAGGGCAGCCTCTGGGGTCTGGGTGCTGCTGCCTGTCTCCTGCCATGGACTTGGCGGGGGGGGCTGTGCTATTGGGCTGGCAGAGACTTAACGGGGGCTGTCTCTCCCAGCCAAAGCTGACCCACAAAATTGCAACCCAGTGTGTGTGTTTGTGTGGGGGGGGGAACCAGCCTGCACAGGGTAAGCCCCGATGGGGCTCCTGGGCTCCTTCTGATGCATGAAAATTGGAGGTTGTCCTTTACAGCTCAGCTCCCCAAGGGGCTCAAAGCCTCCCAAGTCCATTATCAGTCGGAGACGAATGAGTGTAAGCTGGAAGAAAGGGGGAATCTTTATTTTTCTGTTGAAACAGAGCCCTCCTTCCCACTGACATTTGCAAGGAGGGGAGGACCCCAAACAAAGGTGTGCAGCAGCTTTGAAAGACTTTTCCGGCTCAACATCAGGAAGAGCTTTCTGACAATAAGAGCTGTTCAGACGGTCTCTGCTCCCCGGGAGAGGCTAGGTGGCCATCTGTCAGGGATGCTTGAGCTAAGATTCCTGCATTGCAGGGGGCTGGACTAGATGACCTTGGGGTCCCTTCTGTCTCTATGATTCTATGATTAGCATAATACAAGCATCTCAGGAAGAGGCATCTACCAACAGAAATCCAAGAGTGTGGCTTCTCTCCTGTCTGTCAAGGGACCTGCAGATGCTGATTGCCTTACTTGGCCAGTTCCTTAGGACTGGTACATACAGTCATACCTCGGGTTACAGATGCTTCAGCTTAAGCATTTTCAGGTTATGGATGCACTGAAACCCAGAAGTACCGGAATGGGTTACTTCCAGGTTTCGGCACTTGTGCATGCGCAGAAGCGCTAAATCACAACCTGTGTGTGCGCAGACGCAGCAATGTGAGTTGCGAACACTGCGGGTTGCGAACGTGCCTCCCACATGGATCACGTTCACAACCCGAGCGTCCACTGTACCTTGGTTCTCGAACAGAATGCATTCCGGGAGTCCATTCGACTCCCGGAACCATTTGAAAACCAGAGTGCGGCTTCTACCAGAGGAGCCCCCTGCAGCCAATCGGAAGCCGCACCGGATGTTTGCCCTCCAAAAATCATTTGAAAACCAGAACACTCACTTCCGGGTTTCGATTGTTCAGAAGCCGATTTGTTTGGGAGCCAAGGTGCTCGGCTTCTCAGGTACAACCGAACCTGAGTCCTTGGGGGCGCCGCCTCCCCGGGCGGGAACGCTGCGGGTGCGCGAGGGAGGAGGGTGGCCCCCGGGGGCTGGGAGAGCCAGGCTGCCGTGGCCGAGAGGGCTGCTCTGCCGGGCGCCGCTGACATTGGAACTTAGAAAACTTCCCGGGGCAGGACCCCGGTATGGGCCCCCCCAATATTTTTTATAAGTCGGCGCCCCTGAGTGCGCCTGGGCAGGATGTCCCAAGAATGACAGCATCAGGGACCGCACTGAGGAGGAATGGTGGGAGCCACTCCCTCCCCTGCTCCTGCTCCTGCATCTTCCCAGGGGTAGGAGGACAGCATAGATTTGGAACAGTGGTTTGCCGAGGGGCACAGTTCAGAAGGCAGAAGCTGGGAAATACTGGATGGGGAACAGCTAGGAGAAGAAACACTAGAAAAGAGAAGGTTAACAGATTCACAGTCATTGGACATCATTCCTTCGCTCAGCCTAAGGTCAAGAAGAGCTCAGAAAGTCTCAGAACAGAAAGCACAGAGGGTACAAGCTTAGATTAAAAGACGTACGAGTGATGTAGATTAATACGGGCGGAAGGGGGTATGATCCTTAATTGGGAGCACCGCTGTTTCTAGGAGATGTGTTCTTTGTTCTCTCCCTGTGATTATTAAAGTTTCTAACTGGTAAGGCATTCCTTTCTTTGATCTTCTTATCTACTGCTACGGGGGGGAGGAAGCCAATTCCCTGAAGTCTGACAGACAGCTGCATAAAAAAAGCTACCCCACTGGCCCCCAGGTAGCCAGCACCTTTGGGGAGTGGCTGGCTTCCCTTTTCCCCTATAGGTTGTCTCCCTAAATAACAGGTGCGGGCAGTGGTAGAAAAGGGGTGCTCGCTAAACGGTTGCATTTGAACCTTTTGGAGGGATAAAACGAATGCAAGTCGGCATGGACTGTTTTTCAACCCTCGCGTTTTCTTCCAAGCAAGCAACATCCCTGTGAGGTGGGTGGATTAGGCAAAGGGCCACAGCCAGTGAGGTGCAGGAATCTGGGTTGCCCCATTCTGAGCCCCCCCCCACCAACCACAGCATCCCCACTGGCTCTCCCCATTTATATGAGCAGTGGGTATTTACGGGGGGGGGGGGTGTCCCAAGATGTACAGCTACCTAACACAGAGGCCTTGCCAGCTCACCCCTGCTTCGTCAGCACATCTTTTCGCTCCCACTGATTCCTCCCTCGCCCCTACCGCCAATCTCTCCCGCAACCTCCCATCGGCTCGCTCTCCTTCCCCTCTTAGGATGCGTTCGGCAGCTGATCATCCAAGGGAAGGAAGTTATCTTCAAAGACTTTGACCTGCAAGCTCACGGCGTCTCCAACTGCCCCACCTGCCAGGACCGTCCGTGTCAGGTAAGCTCTCTGCATGTGTGCAGCCTCTGCATTTTATAGAGGGGAGCAGAATTCGGCCTCGTTGCTCGCTGCATTCCCCGTGGCCAGCCCTGGTTGGACACGGCAGGTGATTGGAATAATTATAGAGTGTTTGTAGTGAGGGAGGAGGGGAAAGGAGATTGTTAGCTTTGAGACTCCTTCGGGTAGTGATAAAGCGGGATATCAAATTCAAACTCTTTTCTTCTTTTCCTTCCTTCCTTCCTTCCTTCCTTCCTTCCTTCCTTCCTACCCCGCCCATCTGGCTGGGTTTCCCCAGCCACTCTGGGCGGCTTCCAACAGAATATTAAAAACATGATAAGTCATCAAACATTAAAAACTTCCCTAACCAGAGCTGCCTTCAGATGTCTTCTAAAAGTCAGATAGTTGTTTATTTCCTTGACATCTGATGGGAGGGTGTTCCACAGGGCAGGTGCCACCACCAAGAAGGCCCACTGCCTGGTTCCCTGTAGCCTCGCTTCTTGCAGGGAGGGAACCTCCAGAAGGCCCTCGGAGCTGGACCTCCGTGTCCGGGCTGAACGATGGTGGTGGAGACGCTCCTTCAGGTATACTGGGCCGAGGCCGTTTAGGGCTTTCGAGGTCAGCACTGACACTTTGAATTGTGCTCAGAAACGTACTGGGAGCCAATGAAGGTCTTTCAGGACCAGTGTTATGTGGTCTCGGCTGCCAGTCCACCAGATTTTCCCTTCTCTCCTCTTGGCAGAATGGAGGCGTCTGCAGGGACTCGGAGAGCAGCAGCTATGTGTGCGAGTGCCCACAGGGATTTGCTGGAAGCAACTGCGAACACCCCCAGGCCCTACGCTGCCATCCAGGTAAGGTGCACCGGCTGTCCCTGTTTCCATGTGGCGCATCACGTGGCAGGGACAAGACTGGGCGTCCTTTAGGAGGAAGGGCCGTGGCTCAGGCGCACGTCATTTGCTTGGTATGCAGAAGGCCCCAGGTTCGGTCCTCAGCAGTATCTTCTGGTAGGGCTGAAACCTTTGGGAGCCACTGCAGAGCAAGGCTGACATTTTTATTTATTAGGAAATTGGTTTTAAACTGTTTTAATGATGGACTTTTTATAATTTTATTTTTTCATTTTTTCAAAGTAATAATAATAAAAAAGAATAAAAATGTGCACCCCACCCCCGAGACCATTCCATCATAGCTCCCCAATCTACCAAAATTTCAACATCTCTTGCGATGTTCCATTTCCATTTTAATAGTACAAATTCTACACACCTTCCATATCTCCTCAAAATCATTCTTCCTGCATATTCCCCGTCTTACCTTAATAGCACGTGCTAATTTATCATTAATGATGTACATTAGGGTTAGGTTAACCCCTAACCCTAACCACTTTAAGGGCAGATAATAGCAATAATTAATGGACAATACTGAGCTAGATGGTTTGATTCTGGGGGTGGGTCCTGCAGATTTGCACCTCCCACCCTTTTCTGACATGGACCCACTTTGGATGCTGACGTAGAAGGACCAGTGGCCTGATTCTGTATATGGCAGCTTCCTAAGTTCAGGGGGCAGACAGGGAACCCTGACTCCCGGCCCTCTGCCTGTCAGGATGCTGTCCGCGGTTCCCGGCTGGTTGCCCAGGAAAGTATAAAGACAAGGGAAAGTTTCTTAACATCCTTTTTCATTTCAAACTTTACAGAAAGGGGCTATAGAACCCTGCCTCTTGGATAATGGTGTTGTCCTGAGTGAATCTCCACCTGCCCATCTCTCCAACAGCTTCCTCATTCGTCGTCGTCATCACCTCTTCTATGGGTGCTGCTACGTGCCCTCTGTCTTTGAGCTCTTTGCTCCCCTACTTTTAAAGCTTGCCGGGTTCTGGGAGATGGAGGGTCTGGAATGCTCTCTAATGACAGCGTGTCAGCCGGGTGTTGTTCTGTCTCTCCCATGATTTCCCAGCTTTTCCCCTCAACTGCCTCTGAGCTGCGACCACAGATCAATCTATACTGTCTTCCTCTTCTTCCTCCCTGGAAGGGTCAGGATTTGAGGCGGTCTCCTCTATTCCTTCTCTGCCCAGTCCCTGACACTGCCGCCCAGAGTCTTACCAAATGACCCTCCCTTCCCTCACAGAGGCCTGCGGTCCCGACGCCACCTGTGTTAACCGAGCTACTGGGCAAGGCTACACTTGCCGCTGCCTCCTTGGGAAATACGGAGAGAAGTGCATGGACGGTGAGTAAGGCAGACACGCTGCCCCCCCCCCATGGCCAGGGCAAAGCCTGAGCAAAGTCCCAGGCTGACCCCCCCACCGCCCTCCTCTTTGCTGCAGGCACCACGGTGACCGTGCCCTATTTCCACGGGGGCGATGCCTTCATCTCCTACCCTCCGCTCACCAACATCCACTACGAGCTGCGCGTGGACCTTGAGATCAAGCCGCTGTCCCCCGATGGCCTCATCCTCTTCAGCGGCGGAGATGGCTCCCCCGTGGCAGATTTTGTCTCGCTCAGCATGGTCAACGGGCACTTGGAGTTCCGCTATGAACTGGGCTCAGGTAATGAATCCACTCCCTGTTGCTAACAACAGATACCCGAAAGGCTGCCTCTTTCCCAGCAGCGCCTCTCGGGTGCTGGGATCTGCCCTCTTGGTGGTTGTCCTCAGAGGCTTAAGGGGTACAGGACAGGGCCTTCTCTGCAGCAGCCCCTGAGCAGTGGGAACTCCCTCCTGGCACCTTCATTGTGCAGCTTCCAGCAAATGCTGATGACTCCAGCCTGTTTTTGACCCTCAAGGTGTATGTTTTGAGAACCCAGCTTATTTTCATGGCCGTTAATTTGTTTTAAACTGTTTTTTTAGTATTGTTTTAAACTTGCCCTGAGACCTTAGGGCATAGGGCGGATAATAAAATAATGATGATAATTCGTAATAGTAAAAAAAAAGGGGGGGGGAGTTCCCAGGCTGTCTAAGGATATGTGTCCGCTATCTGTTCTCCAACTCCTACTCCTCCTCTCATTACAGTGGTACCTCTGGTTATGAACCTAAATCGTTCCGGAGGTCCGTTCTTAACTGGAGGTACCACTTTAGCTAATGGGGCCACCATGACGCCACCACTGTGCAATTTCTGTTCTCATCCTGAGGTAAAGTTCTTGACCCGATGTGCTACCTCTGGGTCAGCGGAGTCTGTAACCCGAAGTGTTTGTAACCAGAGGTGTTTGTAACCAGAGGTACCACTGTACCTCAAAACTTGGTAGTTTTCTGTCCTGTCGTAAATTAGTCCTGTTTCAGTCTCTTCTTGCAGCTATTGGAGAAAGGGGGGGGCGATTCTTCCCACTCCCCCTCCTTTTCAGAAAGAGGCAGAGGAGAAGGAGGGGTCATTTCCCAACCCTCCTCCACAGACCAGTCCCAAACACATACCATATTTTTCCGTGTATAAGACGCCCCCTATTTTGGGGGTCTCTAAATTAAGTAAATGGGGGGAGATTGCCCAGAGTTGCTGAGCTTTTGGGGGGGGGATTGCCAAAAATCACTCACCCGCCAGACCAACCACGACAATCGTGCGCATCATAAAACACACTAGTCGCCTGCCTGCTAACCAACAGCCACTGCCAATCACCACAGCCCCGGCAAATCAACAGCAGCCCTTGCCACAGCCACCAACAAATTCACCACTGACGACAATCTGCTTGCGGCAGAAACCAATCCCCCGTCCAAACACTGCGCTATCCGTGTCTAAGAAAGCCCCAATTTTTGACATTATTTTTCTCAGGAAAAAAACCTCATCTTATACACGGAAAAGTACGGTACATTCTTAACTTTCGGGGTATGTGAGACGGGCCGGTTGTTGCAGGGAGAATCTTCCCCCAGCTGCAGAATCCAAACTCACGTTCCCGGCTCTCTTTTAGGAACGGCCGTCCTTCGGAGCGCAAAGCCCCTAGAGCTGGAACAGTGGCACAGGATAACGGCCGAGCGGCTGAACAAAGACGGCACTCTGCAGGTGAACGATGAGCGGCCGGTCAAGAGGTCCTCACCAGGCAAAAGCCAGGGCCTGAACCTCCGCACTTCCATGTACCTGGGGGGCGTCGACGATTCCGTCAGGCTGCCGGCAGCTGCCAACGTCTCCAGCCACTTCTACGGGTGCATTGGGGAGGTGAGCAACTGGGGGGCGCGACGGCAGTAGGGAGAGGAGCTGCCTGTTCCCTTTCCCTGTTTTGTGGTGGACAGTCCACACTTCCTCCTTGGAAGAGAAGGGGGCAGGAGGAAGGGAAGGGGCTGGCCGGCAAGATCCATGCACTCTGACTGGAAGCTGAAGCTGTTTGCGTCTTCCCACCCCAGGTCTCGATCAACGGGAAGAAGGTGGACATTTCGTACAGCTTCCTGGAGAGCCGCAGCATCTCGCAGTGCTTTGACAGCTCCCCTTGTGACCGCAGGCCCTGCCTGCACGGTGGCAAGTGCTTGCTGACGGGCGAGTACGAGTTCCAGTGCCTGTGTCTGGACGGCTACAAAGGTGAGAGCGCCACAGAGGGATGCGAGAGGGTATGACGCCCAGTAAAAAGTCTCTTGCGGTTTTTCCAGAGCTTCCCGGGGTTTCCCCCCACACATACCTTTTCCTCCGTGCTTCCCAGCAAGAGGTCTACACTTTAAAGCTCCATTTTAGCCCTCTCTTTATTGCTCTGGAGCTTTCCCTGCGAAAACCTGCTCTTTAAAGCTGATTCGGAGCCAAGGGCAATCCATGAAAAAGCCAAATACAGTGGTACCTTGGTTCTCAAACACCTTGGTACTCGAGCAACTTGGAACCCAAACACTGCAAGCCCAGAAGTAAGTATTCAGGTTTGCGAACTTTTTTCGGTAGCTGAATGTGCTCCGTTTTGAGTGTTACGCATCCAATTTGAGTGCCGCGCTTCCATACGCTGAGGTCAGTCTGTTTTTGCTGTTTATTTTGCATTTTTGTTTTCGTGGTTCTTTTGTTTTTGTGACTGTGTGGAACCCAGTTCAGTTACTGAATGATTGATTGTGTGACTGCAGTACATTGTTTATTGCTTTGATTTTATGGATCCATGGTCTCGTTAGATAGTAAAATTCATGTTAAATGGGTGTTTTTGGGGTTGTTTTTAAAAGTCTGGAACGGATGAAACCATTTTGCATTACTTTCTGTGGAAAAGTGCGCCATGATTTTGGAATGCTATGGTTTTGGAACGGATTTCCGGAACAGATTAAGTTTGAGAACGAAGGTAGCTGTTTGTTCCAGATCAGCTTTAAAGAGTGAGTTTTCACAGGGAAAGCTCCGGAGCAAAAAAGAAAGGAAAAAGGTGCTCAGACATGGAGCTTTAAAGTGAAGACCTGTTGCTTAGAAAGAGTGGGGCTAAAGATAAGTGTGGTTAAGCCCTTAGTCTTGCGCATCATGCAAGTCCGCCCTCGCCCATCTCTACCTCTCCATGCTCTTTACAACAGTGTGTTTCTCTCTCGCTCTCTTCAGGGGAGCGCTGCGAGGTGTCTGAGGTCCAGTGCCAGCTCCAGCAGCCCTGCCTCAACGGGGGCATCTGCAAAGACACAGCGTGCGTCTGCCCTCCTGGCTTCCTGGGATTATACTGTGAACACGGTAAGTCTGAGGATGATGGCTGGCTAGAGCTGCAGAGGCAAACTGCCTCCTCCACCGCTGTCACCCCGGAAGAAAGTTGTCTTCTGCTGTGTAAAGCGAGTGCCTGTTTCTCTGCCACGCAGATGCATCGCAGCACCAGTCAAATACCGAGTGGACTCCAGAGGGCAGCGGAGGAAATGGTACGTCTCAGGACCCCTCTTTGCGCCACCTGCTTCTGCTTCTTTTGGGGTGAAGATCCTGCTTTGCAGACAAAGTCCTGACTGGGACCTAAGGAGGATGTCTCTTGTAGTGAAGCCACTTCAGATAACCATGTCATCCGGGCAGAAGATGCTTTGATGATCCAAAGCCATTTGACACTTCCAGAAAACCAGTTCAGCTTCTCTTTTCCCCTTTTAAAATTTGTTTACAGTGGTGCCCCGCAAGACGAATGCCTCGCAAGACGGAAAACCCGCTAGACGAAAGGGTTTTCCGTTTCTGAGTTGCTTCGCAAGACGATTTTCCCTATGGGCTTGCTTCGCAAGACGGAAACGTATTGCGATTTTTTTTCGCTTCCCCCCCCCTTTTTCTAAGCCGCTAATAGCCTTTTAGCCGCTAAGCCGCTAATCCTTTAATAGCCGCTAAGCCGCTAAACCTCTTAGCCGCTAATAGGGTTGCTTCGCAAGACGAAAAAACCGCTAGACGAAGAGAATCGTGGAACGGATTCTTTTCGTCTTGCGAGGCACCACTGTATTTGGTTTTACAATCACATATCCAATGAATATATAACATAAAAACAAGATGCCAAGGAATCTCCTGGACTTCCCTCCTTTCCTTTATGGGTCCTATTGATAGTCCTTCCCAGTGCTTTTTTTTCTGTTCCGCATACCCCTAGACATTTTGCGAATCTAAGTTTGGCCTCATTGAGGGGTAGTATTTCAATATGAGTAGGAAAACAAGAGTACCCCTATTTATTTATTTATTTATTGGGGGGGGGAGCACTTGTCCTTTCCTCCAGCATCTTTTATAATAATCCAAATCTTTTACGTCTCCATTAAACTACAAGTGTTCTTCCAGTCCTGCTAACAGTTTTAACTGCTTACAATGGTTTTTAAGATAAATTATACATTTCCCCCATTCCTTGTTGAAATTTTGGTCTTCCCAGTTACTGATTCTTCTGGTCATTTTTGCCATTTCTGCAAACTTAATCTGCCATTCATCTCTGGTAGGGACTTTATCTTCTTTCTATCTCTGAGCCAATAACTTCCCCGCAGTTCAGCTTCTCCCTCCCCTCCCTCCCATTGCCTCAGACTGTGCTGGAGTCCCTGAAGTAGGTGCTGAGACTAATTCTCCTTTTCCCCCATTTATCAGATGCCCCTGGACAGTACGGTGCCTATTTCCACGACGGCGGCTATGTGGCCCTGGGGCGCCACACTTTCCCCAGGAGGTGAGTTATCTCTGATGCCATTGCGGTGGACACTTCCCCACGAACGGCGACCAACCAGCCTCGAGTGGCAGTGGGAGAACACTGCCAAGCTCCATTTACGGTGGAGGGAACAGGCCAAGGCCAGTGCAGAAGGGAGTTCAGGGGAGGGACTTTTACCGTATGGGTTTACAGGTGAAACTCGGAAAATTAGAATATCGTGGAAAAGTTCATTTCTTTCAGTAATTCAACTTAAAAGGTGAAACTAATATATGAGATATGGACTCATGACATGCAAAGCAAGATATGTCAAGCTGTTATTTGTTATAATTGTGATGATTACGACGTGCAGATAATGAAAACCCTAAATTAACAATCTCAGAAAATTAGAATATTAAATGAAATCAGCAAAACAAGGACTGCAAATATACCAATATTGGACCTCTGAGAAGTAGAAGCATGCATATGTACTCAGTACTTGGTTTGGGCCCCTTTTGCATCAATTACTGCCTCAATGCGGTGTGGCATGGATGCTATCAGCCTGTGGCACTGCTGAAGTGTTATGGAAGACCAGGATGCTTCAATAGCAGCCTTCAGCTCTTCTGCATTGTCTCATGTCTCTCATCTGTCTCTTGGCAATGCCGGTTCAGGTCAGGCGAGTTTGCTGTCCAATCAAGCACAGTAATCCCATGGGCATTGAACCAGGTTTTGGTACTTTTGGCAGTGTGGGCAGGTGCCAAAGTCCTGCTGGAAAATGAAGTCAGCATCCCCATAAAGCTCGTCTGCTGAAGGAAGCATGAAGTGCTCCAAAATCTCCTGGTAGACGGTGATGTTGACCCTGGACTTAATGAAGCACAGTGGACCAACACCAGCTGATGACATGGCTCCCCAAATCTCTTTTCTGATAAGAGCAGCTTTTGCATCTCATTTGGAAACCAAGGACCCAGAGTCTGGAGGAAGTATGGGGAGGCCCACAATGCCAGATGCTTGAAGTCCAGTGTGAAGTTTCCACAGTCTGTGTTGATTTGGGGAGCCATGTCATAGCTGTGATCTGTTTCTGTGATACAGCGGCATATAATTAATTTTTTAAAATAAATGCATAAAAACATGCCGTATTGGCCTGAATATAAGCCACACCTGAATATAAGCCGCACCTTTAAAACTGGGGGGGGGGGGAGAGAAAATACCCAAATAAAAGCTGCTCCCTTCCTCACTGCTCCTGGGTGTGTACTAGGCGGGGGAGCGCACTGCGTTGCCAGCAGCCTGCCCCTTTCCTCGCTTTCTCCCTTGGGGGAGAGGACGGGGTACCAAGTACGGGGCGGGCAACGCTTTGCCGTTCTCCTGGTACTGTTTGCCCCACGTTCCTGGCTGCACACTGTAAGATTGCACGTATAAACTGCACTTTAACTTTTCACGGTCGGAATTTGGGGGGAAAGTGTGGCTTATATTCAGGCCAATACAGAGAAAACAGTAAAGACCTGATGAAGAGAGCACAGCAGAGGTTATATTTTCTGAGAATCCTCCGGAAAAACAATCTCTCATAGGACCTGTTGATGGCATTTTACCATTGTACTGTGGAGAGTGTATTATGGTCTATGTGTGTGGTTTGGGAGCTGCACGGCCAGGGGAAAAACAGTGCTGTCCAGGGTTGTAAAGACTGCAGAGAGAATAATTGGCTGTACTCTTCCCACCTCGGATCAAATCTATGCTTCCAGGTGCCATAAGAAAGCTGCAGAGATAGCGCAGGATAGTGCACACCCCGGAAATGATCTCTTTCAGCTTCTGCCTTCTGGAAGAAGGTACAGGGTTATAAAGACTAGGACTAGCCACCTGAGAAACAGTTTCTACCCAAAAGCGATTTTGGTTTTAAATGCAGTGTAAGGAGTCTCTATGGGAGTATATTGTATTTTAAAATGGTGTATCAGAGTTTATAGGGGGCTAACCAGGTTGTGATAGCTGGGATAGCAGGCTTGTTGGGTTTTGAATGTCTTATGTAGATTTTTCAATTTCGTTGTTCTGTATGGGACAGTGGCAACAAAGATTATCGTATCGTATCGTAATAAGTGCCTTCAGCTTGATCAGTCCAGTGGCCCATCCAATCCAGCGTCCTGTGCTTGCGGGAGGGTTGCAGGCAGGGCACGAGTGCAACTCTACAGTTGCTGTTCGCCATCAGAGGTAGACTGCTCCTGGGCAAGGAGGTTCTGCTATTACAACGGGTGTCCCTAAGGAGAGCTTTGGTGGATTGGACCGAACGGCCATCTCATCCAGCGTTCTGTTCTCCCAGTGACCAACCAGATGGCTGTGGGGAAACTGGCTAACGCAGCAGAGCTGTGCACAGTCTCTCATCGCTTGGTCTCTTTTTTCTCTCTTGGTTGCAGCCTCCCGGACTCACCAGAGACGATCGAGCTGGAAGTGCGCACCAACTCAGCAAATGGGCTTCTCCTCTGGCAGGGCGTGGTGAGTGAATGCGACAGAGCAGGGGTCCGTCAGCTCAGTGTGGCTTACACTGGCTGGCTGTGGCCCCTCCAGGGTTTCAGACTGGTTTTGGGGGGGAGGGGATCCTTACTTGGAGATGCTATGGGGAAACTGAACCTGGGGCCTTCTCTCTGCCTCTCCCAGAGGCTGGAGATGGAAACAGGAGATGTAAAGCTGTGGGTGAGGGGTGGAGGGCGAGGGGGCAGTTGGATCCTGGCAAAACTGAGCAGGGGGATGAAAATGCCAGCAGCCCGTGATGCCAAAGTGTTGGTAAGGCCTCTTCACTGATCACAAGTAAATAAAGGGCCGTCTTTGTGCCAGGCCTCACAAGCCAGTGCCATCTTGATGAATGGCGCTGCAAAGATCAGCAGGAGTGTGGGGACAGCTTCTCCTTCACCTGGGACACGGGTGGCGCTGTGGTCTAAACCACTGAGCCTCTTGGGCTTGCCGATCGGAAGGTAGGCGGTTCGAATCCCCGTGACGGAGGGAGCTCCCATTGCTCTGTCCCAGCTCCTGCCAACATAGCAGTTCAAAAGCACTTCAAAGTGCAAGTAGATAAATAGGTACCACTGCTGTGCGAAGGCAAACAGCGTTTCTGTGCGCTCTGCTTTCCGTCATGGTGTCCTGTTGCACCAGAAGCGGTTTAGTCATGCTGGCTGCAGGACCCGGAACGCTGTCTGTGAACAAATGCCGGCTCCCTTGGCCTGAAAAGCAAGATGAGCGCCGCAACCCTATAGTTTCCTTTTACTGGATGGTTAAATCCAGGGGCCCTTTACTGTTTTTTTTATTTAAAAAATCTGCTTGATCTGCAACGTGGCAGAAAGAGAGGTTTGCAGCACTGGGGAGGGAAGGCTATCTTTTTAGTCTGGATGTCTATAACATCCAGACTAAAAAGATTTGACGGCAGTAGCCTGCCTGCTGCTTTGATGGCATGCAAGTTGCTGCGAGACCCCGCAGGCTCCTCTGCTGTTGCCTGCGCATGATGTGCTTCTTTTGAGGAAGGCTGCTTTCTCCCAGCACCAGCATGTCTTATGCACACACCCTGCCCTGTTGCATGGATGCCGTTGCTGTTCCCCTCTGCCATTTCTCCCCCGCTTTCCAGGCATGCTGTGTTCAGCTGCCTGCTTTGCACCCCCCGCCCCCCAGTGTGGCTTGTGCTCCTCTTTTTCTCTCTCTCTTCCCAGGCAACCAGGGAGGTGGGCCTTGAGCCGCATGCTGCTAACGAGGTATTTACTGGCTTGGTTTTTGTGGCATGGCGAAGGGAAGGCCAAAAGGCGCGACTAGAGGGGGTCAGAGAGAAAGGAGCATGGGAGGCGGGGGCTGACTAACCCAAGTGCAGATGTGCTGGTTGAATGGAAGAATTTGTTGCTGCGATGCTGGACAGGCCTGCAAAAGCGCCAGGTAAAGCTCCACCACTGATCAGAATTAGCTTGGCAAAGGTAACAGGGAGATTTGCAGGAAAGCGATGTGGGAACTAGTCTTAAGAGGAGCTGCCTGCTCCAAAGCCTGCAGGCCAGGCTCTCTGCTAACCTTTCTGTCTGACAAGCAATCATAGTATCACTGGGAGTGGCTGCCGAGACCACACAACACCGGTCCTGAAAGACCTACATTGGCTCTCAGTACGTTTCCGAGCACAATTCAAAGTGCTGGTGTTGACCTTTACAGCCCTAAACGGCCTCAGTCCAGTATACCTGAAGGAGCGTCTCCACCCCCATCGTTCAGCCCGGACACTGAGATCCAGCGCCGAGGGCCTTCTGGCGGTTCCCTCACTGCGAGAGGCCAAGTTACAGGGAACCAGGCAGAGGGCCTTCTCGGTAGTGGCGCCCGCCCTGTGGAACGCCCTCCCACCAGATGTCAAAGAGAACAACTACCAGACTTTTAGAAGACATCTGAAGGCAGCCTGTTTAGGGAAATTTTTAATGTTTTATGATGTTTTTAATATTTTGTTGGGAGCCGCCCAGAGTGGCTGGGGAAACCCAACCAGATGGACGGGGTATAAATATATTATTATTATTATTATTATTATTATTATTATTATTATTATTATTATTGGTGGGCAATAGACTGGTGCCCATGGGGGCAAGAGCATTCTGTCCTCTGGAGGTGGTCCAGATTCCTGCATTGCTGGGAGGGTTGAATTAAATGACTCTTGGGGTCCCTTCCTACTTCACAATTCTATGAATCTGTGATTATAAGACCCCCTCGCTATGCAGCGCAGGGACTTCTTATCATCATCATCACCATCATCATAGAATTGTAGAGTTGTAAAGGATCCCGAAAGGTCATCCAACCTGACCCCCTAATCACAGGAATCTGACAGGAATCACAGCTCAAGAATCCCCGAAAGATGGCCATCCAACATCAGTTTAAAAACCTCTGATGAAGGAGAGTCCACCACGTACCAAAGGACTGTTCCACTGTTGAATTGCTCTTATTTAAGCCTAACTAAAATCAATCATAAGCTAAAAACACCTGTCAACATTTTTACATGTCTGGATAAGCAATTGCCTTTTAAAAAATGCTTTTAGCAGGCGCCAAATAGAGTACAGTGAAGGCACCCAACCGATGTCAGTAGGCCAGGGGTTGCAAAGTGTCGGTGCTGCCACACTCAAAGATGAATTTCTTACAAAGTAAAATGTGGCACCTGAGAAGCAGTACCAGTTCCTTAGCAGTTCATGGGCTGCTTCTCCCTCTATGGCATGACCCCCCACTGATGCCTAGGGGTGCCCTCTCCTAAGGAAAGGAGAAGGTGAGAAACAATGTTTGGTTTCTGTCACAGGAGGAAGGAGAGAGCGCCAAAGCGAAGGACTTCATCAGCCTCGGGCTGAAGGACGGGCACCTGGTGTTCAGGTGAGGGAAGGCCGCATAAGAGCTCACACTATTGGCCGCTCTGCGTTGGGGCTCCGGAGTGGCCAGTGTGGTGTAGTGGTTAAGAGCGGTGGACTCGTATTCTGGTGAACCTGGTTCGCGTCTCTGCTCCTCCACATGCAGCTGCTGGGTGACCTTGGGCTAGTCGCACTTCTTTGAAGTCTCTCAGCCCCACTCACCTCACAGAGTGTTTGTTGTGGGGGAGGAAGGGAAAGGAGAATGTTAGCCGCTTTGAGACTCCTGAAGGGGAGTGATAAAGTGGGATATCAAATCCAGACTCTTCTTCTTCTTCTTCTTTGACACTGGCCATGTGTTTCCTTCAGTTACCAGCTAGGAAGCGGAGAAGTGAACATCCTGTCTGAAGACCCAGTTGATGATGGAGAATGGCATAGAGTGACAGCCATCCGGTGAGACACGTGTAGAGAGATGTGGCTTGGGACACCCCTAGTTTGACAAGCCCAAGTGTTAGGGGGTGGAGAAAGGCATAGGCCCTGTTCCCGGAACAAGGCGGGTTGAGGAGCAATTTGTGTGCTTCTGGGGCTGGGGATGCTGTCCCAGCCCTTGAAGCTGACCCAGAAACTCCAGTGGGTGCAGAATGCCGCGGCGAGGCTCCTTACAGGGTCCTTACCACGGGATCACATTCATCCAGTGCTTTACCAACTGCACTGGCTCCCGGTGGAGTACTGGGTCAGGTTTAAGGTGCTGGTTTTAACCTTTAAAACCCTACATGGTATGCCCCGCAGAGGACCTTAAGGTCCACAAATGACCACACTTTGGAGGTCCCAAGTCGCAAGGTGGTTAGATTGGTCTCACCTAGGGCCAGGGCCTTTTCAGTACTGGCCCCGGCTTGGTGGAACGCTCAGTCACAAGAGACCAGGGCCCTGCGGGACTTGACATCTTTCTGCAGGGCCTGCAAGACAGAGCTGTTCTGCTTGGCCTTTGGTTTGGACTCAGTCTGACCCTTATGTTTTCCCTCCCCTTACGGTTTTGATCCATGGGCTACTTCTAAAATGAGGCTGCATTTTAAATTGCATTTTAACCTGTATTTTAAATTGTTCCCCCCGCCCCCATTATGTTTTTATTGTAATTTTACTGGTGTTAGCCGCCCTGAGCCCAGCTCTGGCCGGGGAGGGCAGGGTATAAATAAAAGTTGTTGTTATTGTTGTTATTGTTGTTATTATTATTATTATTATCATCATCCACGTGAGGATTCCCCTGTGGAATATCCTTGGACCACATTTCCAGTTCTGTTCCCATGGACAGACGACAAGCACTTCCTTATCCATGCTCATCCTCTCCAATCCAACCAACCTCACTCAAAACCACCTTCGTCCTTCTGACACACTCTCCCATTCCTCCTCCAGGGAAGGGAAAAGAGGCTTCCTTCAAGTCGACGGCGAGGAGATGGTAGCTGGGGAATCTCCTGGCAAGAACGTCATGGTGAATACCAGAGGTCGAATCTATATAGGTAAGCACCTTCATCTCAACAAAACTAGGAACACTTTCAGGGCACTGTGGGTGTATGGGCTAATGAGGGATTCACACTTCCCCTTTTCACTTAGTTTTCAGCAGTCCTCATCAACTGAGTAGGTTTTCTTCTTCTTCTGTTACGTTTCACTTGGGTGGGAACAGGCCAGAGAATCATAGAATTGTAGAGTTGGAAGGGACCCAGAGGATCATCTAGTCCAGCAGTTCTCAACCTGTGGGTCCCCACATGTTGTTGGACTACAACTCCCATCATCCCTGAGCTCTGGCCTTGCTAGCTAGGGGTGATGGGAGTTGTAGTTCAACAACATCTGGGGACCCACAGGTTGAGAAAGGCTGATCTAGTCCAACCCCATACAATGCAGGACCCTTTTGCCTCAATGTAGGATTCAAACTCGTGACACTCATGCTCTACTGAGTGGTGATGGCAGCTTCTGGCAAGATCTTGCCAAGATCTCAGAAGATCTTGCTGGAATCCACTGTCGGCACCACCACTTTGCAGGTGCTGCCGCAGAACCCAGGACAGGGCGCCAGCAGTGCGGAAGCACCTTCCCATTTCGCCTAGGGCAACAGAACAGGATGTGCCCTCCATGCAGGAGGGCATTGCTTTTCATGTTTCCTTTCAATGTTGATTGCCACACTGGTTGCTGCCTGACTTCTAGAGCCTTTCCATGCAAATGGTGTAAAATTTACAGGTGCCGCACGACAACTTTATGGCACCAGCCCTCCTGAATTTGGGAAGGCTGTTCAAAGGACCCTCATCCTCAAAGCTTTACACTTCAGTCTGGACTGTGTCAATGTCTTGTCACTTTCAGAGCGCTCTCAGGGCCACCCCATGCCTACAGGATGTACCCGGGTGGACATTATCGATTTGCTAAGCAATGCTTCTTCAGGAACGCCTCCTACAAATCGTTTATTGAATATTTATAGATAAATCGTAAACAGATAAGAACATTGGCAGGATTATTGTAATAACCTGCAGTTTCATAAGAGTATATATTTAAAGAAGATAAATAAATGTGCAAATTAAGTTACCGTATTGGCCCAAATATAAGCCGCACCCAAATATAAACCACACCTTTAAAATTCAAGGAGGAGAAAGAAAAAAAGACAATACCCAAATATAGGCCACTCCCTTAAAATTCGGCAGGCACTCACGCCTGTTCCGTTTTACCATATGTCTGTTTCAGCAGCGTTATTGTAAAAGCCAATTTTTGTAAGGTCGCGAATTTAAGCCGCACTTTAACTTTTTCATGGTCAGAATTTGGGGGGAAAGTGAGGCTTATATTCAGGCCAATATAGTAATTTGGATATGCAGAAGATATTAAAAATAAATTTAAGGAACTGCAGAAGTCAAGTTTTGAAATGTTAAAATGATTGCAAGATCAGTGAAATATATGGAAAGTATAAAAAAAACATTTGAAAAAAGAACACCTACAAAAAAAACCCAGGAGAAACACAACAAAAGGGTTTTAATGTATTTCCCTAATCATGTTTCTACATTTTCCCTTAAGAAAACATAGAAAGCAGCTTGCATGAATTTCATTTTAAAAACGTGGTCCACATGGCAGCGACAGTAGCAAGTGACTTGTGGACCCGAGTTGTGAACGAATGGATAGCAATATGAGAGCCTTGAAAAGTCTACACGCCTCTCTGAAGGATGCTGTCCAATTAAATCCCACGGCCCAAATGAGGCAGCATCGGTGATGATGCTGAAAATCAAAATGCTGGGATGGAGGCTGTGGTCCCTGCCAGCCTCCTGAATCCTCCCAGTGACTTGAGGAGGAGAAAGAGGACAACAGCCTCTCCCCTTCAGGGAACACACTTGCTGACGGACGGCTCTTCCTTTCCCTCTGCGCAGGCGGAGCACCTGACATCCAAACCCTGACCGCGGGAAAGTACACCTCAGGGATCACGGGCTGCATCAAGAACGTGGTGCTGATCAACGACCGGCCCGGCCAGCAGCCTCAGCAGCCCATTGACCTGCACCATCACTCGGAAGCCGGTCTCAACATCCAGGAGTGCTCCTCATAGGCCGGGCTTGCCTCTTAACCACACTCTTCGCTGTTTTAATTTTTTGTCATCAGGCCAATTGAGAGACATCTATTGTTATTATTATTATTATTATTATTATTATTTTATTATTATTATGAATTTTTTTAAAAAAGAGAAACACACACACACACACTCACAAATGGTGCTTTGCTGCTACCAAAAGAAAATGGGGGTGGGGTGACGTGGGAGGGAGTTGGTTTGTGAGGGGGTTTTTTGTGGAAGTGACAGACCGATGGGGGCCACGCAGGGCCTGTCGTCGTCCCACCACCTTCCCCAGCCCTCACGTGGAAGGACAGAGAGAGAGGGGGCACGGTGGACACTTAAAGGACTGGAGAGCGGCATTCGTGAGAGGCGCTTGGACAGAGCCATGCCCGAGGTTTTCCAGGGATGAGCATCTCAGACAGGAGCCTGAAGAGGCTGCTCTGAGGCCGAGGGGTGGGCAGCGGGGTGACCGCGTGGCTTCTCTTGCTTCCACTGCTGGGCTGGGCTGGGCCAGGCAGGTTGTGACCAAAGATACTGTCCTGTCTTGCCCTTCCCCTGGGTGGGCGTGGGCTGGGTGGGTCTCTGTATCGTGGTGCCCCACGCCCAACGCCGTAGCAGCATCCAGCACTCCAGCCAGGGCAGAGTTCGCAGGAGCACCAAAGAGGGAGGGAGGTCCTTTGCCCTCGTCCTCCAGCATGAGCCAAGCTTTTCAACTTGGACAAGTTTGAGCTTCCTGCGTTTTGTTGCGGTGCCCCACTGCCCGCCTGGCACAATTGAGTTTGCTCCCGCCCCTCACTCATCCTAGCTAGGCTGTGGTCAGTGTTATTTTTCTAGAAAAAGAGGTGCTGGAACTCACCATGGATGCCTCGCTGGTTCTCTTTTAGTGGCAATGGCACCCGCCCGAGAAGTGCTGGAACGAGTTCCAGCCAGGAACGGCTGCGGCGCCTCAGAGCATCCTCTCCACCTGGTCCTCAGTGACACATGCAAAGCCATACAGAGTTCCCCTGTGCTCTGGCTGGCGCGGAAAGCAGCCGAGAGCCCAACACCAAAAAGTGGGCAATGGTTCCCATGCCTTAAGCGCTGCAGGGCAGAAATGGGATTTGCCCCTCCCAAGCCATCAGTGCCTTATTAGTCTGCGTGGGGTCTCCCATAGATCCACACCTTCTATTGCAGTGTGCAGTCCCCCAGAGCTGCAGACACCCCGGGGCCTGGCAGGGCCAGGTAAGTAGCTGTTGCAGCCTCATCTGCTGCCTGGGAAGCAGGCAGGCAGGTCTCTCATCAGCATTTCAGAGGACCCTTTCCGTGGGCAGGGGTGGGGACAAGAGTGTTGCAACGTGTGCAGGAGAGCTGTGATGGGCACCCCACACAGCAGCTCCTGCCAGCCTCCCAGTGCCACAAGCACTGGAGGGCAGGAGTTTCCCGTCCAGCGTTCCCAGGAGGGCGGTAAGATGCTTTGTGGGGGGATGAGAGGCAGAAGGAGCCCATTGCAGCTGGGGAAAGGGGTTTCGACTGCTGCCTTTCTCCTCTCAGCCCCGAGACACTGAAGAGGGCAGACTTTGGAGCTGATCTTCAGCTAACTATACTGCCTTTCCTTCCCTCTTCACAGCCCTGGGTGTTGCCCCTGCAGACAGTGCTGGTGCCAAGCAGGCACTAGGGGGCTTATCTTTTGAGCTTGGGCCTCACAGGATTGGGCTCCAGCCAGCCTCCCACATTCCCTTAATGGTGTGGCTGGCTCTGGCTTGCCCCGTGTGAGCCTTTGCCGCCAGTGTTCACTCTGCCTTGCCCGCTTCCTTCCAGAACCAGAATTATACTGCCTGGGAGGCACCATGATGCTTGTGTCGCTCCAGTACCTGTTCCTGCCTTTTGCTTCCCCTGCCTGCCTCCCCCATTTGTTCTTTTTCTTTCTTTCTTTCTTAAATAAATGGTGCTGAACCCCAAAGTCCATGTGTCAAGTCTGTGGCTCCCTGTCTTAGCTGAGGTTGTGTGCATGCCGCACATTTAAAGCACACATGCGCACACAAATCTTGGGAACTAGCTTGTGAAGGGTGCTGGGGACTAGCTCTGGGAGAGGCAAACAACAGTTCTTGGGATTCTTTGTGGGACAGTTGTGTGCTTTAATGGGTGGCGCTGTGGGCAAAATCACTGAGCCTCTTGGGCTTGACAATCGGAAGGTTAGCGGTTCAAATCCCCGCAACAGGGTGAGCTCCCATTGCTCTGTCCCAGCTCCTCCCAACCTAGCAGTTCGAAAGCATGCCAGTGCAAGTAGATAAATATGTACCGCTGTGGCGGGAAGATAAACGGCATTTCTGTGCACTCTGGTTTCTGTCACGGTATCCCATTGCACCAGAAGCGGTTTAGTCATGCTGCCCACATGACCTGGAAAGCTGTCTGTGGACAAACGCCGGCTTCCTTGCCGCAACCCCAAAGTTGCCTTTGACTGGACTTAATCATCCAGGGGTCTTTTACCTTGGACAGCATTGCAACAGCTTGACCAATGGGAACTGAAAACAACACAGGAGGGCAGAGAAATTCCATACTGGTCTCTGGGTTGATTTTGTACATACCAAGTGTGGTAGATCAGCTGCACGTCCCAAAAGAAGTAAAAAAATCCCCTCCATTTCAGTAATTTCCCCAGTGTTTTCTGCCTTTCCTTATGACTATGCTGGGAACAGATGAAGAACAGTCCTATGTTTTAAAAAAGTGGGTTTCAATCGGTGTGCCATGGCACCCTGGGGTGCCTTGAATGATGGTCAGGGGTGCCAGGGCAACACTCTTTCCTTCCTCCTCTAATGCCCTCTTGTGTCTCTGCCTCCCAAAGGCTTGTGCGGCTGTTTATTGCAGCAGTCCTGGCTATAAGCTCCCCAGGCAAATGGTACCTCTGGGAAGCACCTCTCTTTGGGGCAGGGGGGCAGCTCAGAGACCAGGGGCAGCAGCAGCTGCTGCCCAGAGGACTCCCAAGGAAATGGGAGAGGAGAGCGGCTGAGGGAACACTCCACAAAGGAGGGTGTTTGAAAAAGGTTGAGAGGCTGCCAGCTCTGCAAGCAAGGGGTGACATAACTGGGCTCCTGAGGCCCACAAGATGTGTCACAGAAAGGATGTAGTTGGTCAAGGGAGCCATGAACTCAAAAAGGTGAAAACGTTTTCTAAAACTTGATCTAAAATACCCACATTTCAAAGCTTGTCATTCCCAGTCTTCTGATACCATCAGTGGAAGAGGTGCCTGACTTGGTGCCTCGATATAAAACAAGAGAGGGAACATCTGTGGGTCTCCTTTGACTTGATTCCACAACTCTGGTCTTTTTCTTTTTTTACAGTGGGAAGTCAGCTAGATGAACACGGGCTTTCCTTCCCCTGTCATAAGCTGACAGGCCCAGATCTCAGGCCCAGAGCAAAAGAGAAACCCCATCCACACACCGAACATTTAAAGTGTTTTTGGGCCACTTGAATGGTCATGACTTCCCCCCAAAAAATCCTAGGGACTCTTAGCTCTTGTGAGGGGGGGGTGCGTGTCTCCTAAGCTCCCTTAAAAGTGCAGTTCCAAGAGCTGTTTGACAGAGGAAGGTGGTGGACTCTCCTTCCTTGGAAGATTTTAAGCAGTGGTTGGATTGCCATCTGTCAAGGATGCTGTAGCAGAGATTCCTGCATTGCAATTGGTTGATTCCATGAAACCCAAGTGGTATATGACACAAGAACTCTTGCACATCCTGAATGCTGGAAAATTTGGCCCCTATCTGGACAGGGATAGCCTAACTACTGTTGTCTGTGCTCTGGTAACTTCAAGGTTAGATTAGTGCAATGCGTTATAGGTAGGGCTGCTTCTGAAGATGGTTCGGAAAATTCAGCTGGTGCAGAATTCAGTGGCCAGGTTGCTCACCAGAGCAAGATGGTTTGAGCATAATACACCGATCTTGGTCCAACTGCATTGGCTCCCAATTAGTTTCCGGGCCCAATTCAAAGTGCTGGTTTTGACCTATAAAGCCTTAAATGGCTCAGGACCACAATACCTCAAGGACCGCCTCTTTCCATATGAACCTACCCGGATCCTGAGATCATCTTCTGAGGCCCTTCTTCGTTTGCCTCCTCCTCGAGAGGTCCAGAGGGTGGCAACATGAGAACAGGGCCTTCTCTGCAGTGGCTCCCTGTCTGTGGAATGCTCTTCCCAGGGAAGTTCGTCTGGCGCCTTCATTATACACCTTTAGGTGCCAGGCAAAAACTTTCCTCTTTAACCAGGACTTTGGTTGATCTGTTTGACATCCTATACCCTTTTAAAATGAGGCTCCTTTTTTGGGGGGGGGTTATTGGGTTGTTTTTATTTTGATTATATATATTGTGGTTGTCAGAGCTGCTCCCCGATCCTAGCTCACATCCATCCCCCCCTCGAAGCCCCCCTTTCCCCCCTCCCCTCCTTCCGGTGCGGGAGCTGGGTGCTGCCGAGTCATGGGGACGAATGCCGGATACAGTTCGCTTCCCTTGGTGGGCCTCCAACTGAAGACTTCCGATTCTTCCTCCCTGCGCTTGTCGACAGCGGTCACCTCCGCTTCCATCTCTGTGCCGCCGTGCTCGAAGCCCAGGTCCTCCCCGAACATGTCCACGTCCGTCTCCGCCTCAGTCGTTCCCGGGTCCGTCGCTCGACCTGGAACCTCCAGCCACTTCCTGCGCCACTGCTCCTCTGGTCTATCGTCCCACCAATACGAGGGCTCTGAGGCAGATCCCGAGGGCGACCCCTCCGGGGAACGCGTGTCCATTGTCGGTTCCTCGTCCGAGTCGAACCCGTGGAAAGTGCTGGCTGAAAGCGTCGGTGTGAAAAGCCAATCGTCGAAAAAGTCTGCTGGCATGGGCCTGTGTGGGAAAAGGGCATGAAACTCGTCCTTGAGCAGAGGTTCCTCCAAGGCGTAGCCTGGCACCCAGCTGTTTGCACTGGCCGGGAAGCCCTCCTTGGCGAGGAGGTATTCTACTCCCTCTTCTCCCCATCTAGAGTCCAAAATCTCTGTGACCTCGTTGATGGACTCCTCTTGTGTCACTCCCCCTTGTTGGGTTCCCTCTCGTAGCGGACTCGGAGCCGTTCCTGGTTCCTGAAACCTGTGAGGTGTCTTGTAGGGAGTGAGTACCGACCTGTGGAACACCGGATGCGTTCTGGAACCCTCCGGAAGCATCAGCCTGAAAGCCACCGGGTTGACCTGTTCTTCGACTTGGTAGGGCCCTAGTTGTTTATGCCCTAGTTTCTTCTTCACTAATGACCTGGTCGGCACTGCTTGGGCTGCCAACCAGACCCAGTCTCCCACCTGGATCTCTTCGCCGACTCTCCTGTGTTTGTCCGCTTGCACCTTGTATGCGTGTTTAGCCAGCTCCAGGTGCCGCCGAAGTTGATCATGGACCTCTTGCAACTCTGACGCGAACGCGTCTGCTGTCTGCGGCTCCCCCTCCCCCATTCTTTCCAGTCCCGGGAAGGTTCTGGGGTGCCTTCCGTTGTTGGCGAAGAACGGCGTCACCCCTGTGGACACGTGCTTCGTGTTGTTGTAGGCGAACTCGGCGAGCGGCAGGTAGTCCACCCACGTCGCAGGCTGTTGATTTGCGTAGCATCTCAGGTACTGCTGCATGATGGCATTGACCCGCTCCGCTTGCCCGTTGGTCTGCGGGTTGACCTTGACGTTCAGGAAGCCCATCAGCTTCTGCCAGAAGTTCAAGATGAACTGCCGCCCCCTGTCAGACAGTATAGACCGCGGCAGACCGTGAACCTTGAACACGTGATCTATGAACAGTTTGGCGGTTTGTTCCGCCGTGGCCACCTTCGCACACGGAATGAAATGTGCCATCTTGGAGAACAAGTCCACCACCACTAGCACTGCCGTCTTGCCCCTCGAGCTGGGCAGATCCGTGACAAAGTCCAGGGCCACTCTCTCCCATGGTTCGAACGGGGTTTGCAGAGGTTCCAGCAGTCCCGCCGGCGGTCTGTGTACTGGTTTGGGCGGGAGGGGGTCCGTGGGCTGCAACATCTCTGGGGACTGCTTCACTGACACGTCTGGCTGGGCCCCAGTGCCTCTGTCTCCAGCCAGACTCCTTCGTTTCCCTGCTGTGGTTCTCCTTGCTGAGTCGCTGCAGTTACCATTGCTGAGGCTGCAGTGTGCTTGTGGAGCCTCTGGGGACACTCTTTCGCCATGTGCTGGGGATTGTCGCAGATGTAGCACTTCCGGTTCCCTCTAGGAGGCTTTGCTTTCACTGCTCCCGGTGCTAGGGCTCTGGTTGCTGACTGAGCCCTTGCACCTCCAACCTCCATAGGTTCCGCTCCTCCTCCTGGCGGAGGCGTGGATTGCGCACGCGCTGCTTCTCTGGGAACGAAGGAGTAGCCTCTGGCTGGTTCGCGCCCTCCGCGCCCTTCATCCTTGCCCCAAGGACGTTCCTCCAGACGGACCCCAACTGCGAGCGCCCTCTGAACGATCTCCTGCGTGCTCCGGGGTCTCTCCCCCCTTGCAATTTCGTCCTTAACCGGGCCGCTCAAGCCTTCCCAAAACAGGTCTCTGACTGGAGCCGAATCTCTGTTCCATTCCAGGGCACTGACCAATGCAAAAAAGCGGGCATGATACTGCCGTACGCTGGCCCTCCCCTGCTTAAGTCCATGCACCTCCTTCCGGGCAAGATCCACGTCTATGCTTGATAAGAAGCACCCATCCATTGCTTTAATGAAGGCATCCGCATTTTGGAGCGCCGGATCCTTATCTCTCCACAAATTGCGCAGCCATGCTTTAGCATCTCCATGCAAATGGGACATGATAAACCCCACCTTCTCTTGCTCATCTCTAAAGTCCTTTTCCAGCAGTTGCAGTGCACACTTTACATCTGCTCTAAAGTTGGGGTACTGTTGCAAATTCCCATCGAAGTGAGAGACTAGACCGCCTGCTCGTCTCCCCAACCCAATCCCCTCCGGTCTGGGTGTCAGTTGCC